CTAACAGTTTCATATGACAGTGTTCAGTTATGCTATAGGGAGGCGTTCGAATCCAGTCATAACACAAAGACTGTAGAAACCATGTATTGGCCATGCCGCATGATTCCTTTCTCGTCTGGCTTTGCTAACTCCACAAGAAAGGGAACACAAATACTTTTCATCTCAACATATAAGTTTTCATAAGCTCAGTTTACTATATTTGAAAAGCCTTTTCATAGCCAAATCCAGTATTTGTACTGGGACACTCCACGGCGGAGCAAAGTTATTTTCATAGTCGTCCCTATGTTGGATGCACTTTTTCGTTATTTAAAGCCCCACTCTGGCTTTTGCTGGGGACCCTGAATATAGCCGGGCCATGACGGCTGAAAGGGGTTTCTGGGACCTCTCCACGGGTGATCCCCGCATGGTGGCACTTTGTGTCACCTGGTGTTTATCGATTGTGTGATGTCCTGGTTGGGTACAACAAGCTAGCAGCGGTTCATAAAAGTCTTTCACTGCATCCGACAATGTTGCGGAACGACAGACTGACTGATTTACATCAGGACTGCACAACAAGCGCTAAATACCGGTGGCACAAAGTACCACCATTCGGACGAACAAGTCTCCAAAACCCCGTTCAATTCCTAGGTTGTATTTAGGGTCCCCGACGACAGAAAAGATTGAGAGAAACGGTGTGAATCACAAGAACTGTTGAAAAAACACCCATCGTCAAATGTATTGAGAAGCAAAGAAACGGTTTGGCTATCTAATGAGAATGAAACCGACAGAAAGGACGTATAACCTGAAACACCAAGATACAGGGAAAGACCGAAGACAATATGAATTGAAGGAGTCATTGACACCTTGAGACTACATAACATCAGGACATATCAAGCGACCGAGCGCGCCCTGGCTCGGCTGCCGATCGTCTAAAGAACTGCAACACCTAGCGGCATAAGCAAATATTGACAAAATAAAAAAGAAAGACGACAGTCGGGGTGGGGCTTTAAAATTACAAAAAAGGCGTCCCACACTGGGGTTGATTAATGGCCGAACGGCAGGATAATACTTTTGAGCTCATCTTCATACTGGTAAGTCCCTGCCCCTCTTTCCTTGTACCATGCCCTGTACTGTTTTTATTTTTTAATATATAATCCACTGTGGCGTTTAATAGGACTGTAATAGGGTGGAAGCGACGGAGACTACAGTACAACAGATTAAAGATCTTAGATTTATTCTGGTTTTAAAATGGTTAAAAGGCCACCGGAACTAATACATTTGACCGGAAGATGGAAAAAAATCAGCCCACGGGGTATTTAAACGGCCGACTTATTTATTTGGCCCTTAGGACCAACATATATAATTTTCCGATACCTCTGGTAACATCAAACAGATACTGCTTTGTGAATCACAAACATTGTCACCATCAAGTAGCAGGTCCTTTGCAGAACGTCGCTCTCATCAAAGTCTGCATGAAAGAAACTGGGTCTCTCGCCAGTTCTCCCGCCCCCAGTACTTTCATACTCAAGAAGTCACTTATATACTGTGCCCATCTTCGTGTCGGTCGGCCCCTACCCCTCCTTCCTGGTACCATGCCTTCTCCTATAATTTTTTCCAATCCGTCGTGGCGCTTGATGTGACCAAAAATATTTCAGCTTCCGAGACAGGATGCTGTTTATTAGCCAATCTATCTTGATGTTTATATCTTTCAAGATGTCAGTATTTCTCATCTTCTTTGTCCAAGATATTCAGAGAATCTTTCTATAGCATTTCAGCTCAAAAGCCCCTATTCTCTGTCTTAAGGACTGAGAGATAGTCCACGACTCACATCCGTATGTAGCCACAGGGAAGGTGCATGCTCTCAAAATTCTAATTTTGATCTCCTTGCTGGTGCTTAACCATAGACTTTTAAGGCTGTTTAAGGATCACAAACCTGAACAACTAAAATAACTACTGATAAACCGCAAATTGTCAGTGAATGGTGCTTATGTGGAATAAAAAGATGAGGAACCATAGGGCTGTAAAAACTATATATATATATATATATATATATATATATATATATTCAACGAACGGTAATGTGTTGAAAGGCACTCGTAGACAGAATTAAAAAGACAAGAACACACTGACAACATAAAAATTTAAACCCTTACGATAGACATGGCTAATAAAGACACCTTTTTAGTGATGTCTAGCTGGTCATGCGTCTTAATACATTTAATGTTGGAGGTGACTGGTTCGATTCTCGACATGGGGATATAGCTTTTGAATGTTCCGTTGGCTTATGTGTCCTTCTATCTTTCTACTTCTATGAGTGCTGATCAATACATGCCTCACATCTGTTTGTTTTATATATATATATGTGTGTGTGTGTGTATATACACACACACACACACACAGAGATATTATACAAAATAAAAGCTGTAACAAGTAACATGTTACCGGGCTATTTATTAATATGAAATTTGTGCAAAGAACGTAACAAATTCCAGTAAATCCAAGAAGTGAGAAAAGGAAGTGTGCAGGACACACACTGAGAACCATCTGTTAACAGTCTCACTACAAAGTACTTATTCAACAAGAAAAAAAGCGGCCTCCGTGGCTTAGGCATTGCGAGTCCGACTCATAATTCCAGTGTACCATGATCGAAACCCAGTGCTGGCTGCGTGGATTTTTATCATGGTATGGTCGTCGCAGGTCAACCCAGCTTTAAATGGGTACCAGGATGTATGTCCTGGGAAGTAAAGACGACTGGCATAATGCTGACCACATTACCCACCTAGTGCCGATTGGTCTGTAAAAATATGTGTGCTCTTTCCATTTGCTCGATGCACCTAAAGTGTAAAAAAAATAGATCTTTACTTACTTTTTTTGTTAGAAGAAGAAGGAGGCGGAGTAAGAAGAAGTGAAAGAAAGAAAGATGTTTGTCTTCTCTGACACTTCTAGAGAATTTGTTTTAATACAACATGTGAGCAGCAGAATTAGCTGCTATTTCAACACTCTAAATATTGTTTCAATAGAGCTGCACAGAATTGGTTTCGAAGTCTGTAAGTGTATGGATGTGAAGTCTGCCTTAATGCGTGGTTGTGAAGTCCGTCTTAGCACAAGAAAATTTCACACAGATATAATTCCAACCTTTCCAACTCTTATGCCGTGTTTCTAAGACATCTCTCTTCTGTTTTTCACTCTGCTGGTGTATACACAAACAAGAAACTGACAAACTACACAATATCATTTAAACAACTTTATTTAAAACTAATTCGTGCTCAATCAATCAAGAATTAACATCTATGCACTCGGGACATTCCCACAGATGCTCCATCTCTTTCCTACAAAGAGTCGACATGCCAATAGTACTAGTTTTTCCCCCCTAAGCGTAAAATATTGTCCAGATCATTAGGGTCTGAGGAGAATGGCTCCGTGGGGAGTTACTAGGAGATCTGGCTGACACTCAACACTCAAGGGTGAGACAGATATACCATCAGATGGTTACTGGTCCCATCTAAATTGGAACTCGGCTTGCTGCTCAAGATGGGGATGAAGCGCTTATGGGAGTGTCCCTAGTGCTTGGGTGTCAATTCTTAATTCAACTTTCAACAACAGAGCCCCTGCTGACTCCCTGCTGAATTAGTCATTCAAGGTTTGGATCCTCTATCTGTTGTGTTGCACTGTCCGACTCATCTTAGACAATAGTGCTCAATACAAGATCATCTTACATTATCCATTTTTAAAACACAAAGTATCTTAAAACAGTCAGCGATAGCTGCAAATAAAAACAAATTACAAATACAAGTTCACATTTAGTTTATAATTAAGGCACTCCATGCTAAAAAGTTAGTTGTGTATTCTCTACAGAACATGGTTTTACCAGGCAATTTACTTGGAGTTTCACATAGGGCTTGCAGTCTACCCTTTCATTCTCTTCTTTCGTGTGCAATCACTTTGGTATCAAGGATGATATTCAGTCCAGCATCTTTAGCTTCTGGCATCACCTTCGTTTTAGGGTTTCCTTTGGACACCCTTGCTTTACATATATATGTAGCTGTTTAAATACTATGTTCATCACAAAGTCAGAGCAGTTCACATGGTTTTTATATTATATCCATGAAATCACAGCAGTTCACTTGGTTTCTACATTTTACCCATGAAATCACAGCAGTTCACATGGTTTTTATATTATATCCATGAAATCACAGCAGTTCACGTGGTTTTTACATTTTACCTATGAAATCACAGCAGTTCACATGGTTTTTATATTTTACCCATGAAGTCAGAGCAGTTCACATGGTTTTTACATTTTACCCATGAAATCACAGCAGTTCACATGGTTTTTACATTTTACCCATGAAGTCAGAGCAGTTCACATGGTTTTTACATTATACCCATGAAGTCACAGTCAAAGCTGTTGCTGTTTAACCATTTCAAAACACTATGGTCAAATCTGTTGATGTTTAATCCTTTCAAACACTACAGGCAAAGTTGACACTGTTTAATCATTTCAAGCACAAGAATCTCAGTTGCTGCTGTTAGTCAACTCAAACACTACAATTTTACAATCACAATGTGTTTGGTTTTACTAAAATAAAGTTACAATCACATTTGTTCCTGTTTATGCATTTTAAACACAACAATCACAATCATCACTGTTGAATCATTTTCACTTTCTGTCTATTATTCCTTAATTTCATTCAACTGATATTTCTTTTTGTGGAGCAGCCGAGAGGGTCACCTGAAAACTGCATGCAAAACCTTTAGGGCTTCGCAAAGCTCCGGTTTTGACCAGGTGATCTAGAGTAGTGTGGTTCAAGACTATCACACATAGACACGCACATGCACCCACACACAGTTCTGAACCTTGGTTCTGGGAAAAAGGTCTTAAACTGGAGATCTCCTAGTGTTTAAACAAAGAATTCTGGAGTGCTTATGAAGAAATATGTACGTGCATTCAAGATAATTACTGAAAAGGCAGAAAGGATTCAATCTGCCGAAATCAAATGTCTATTGTCTGAAGAAGAAAACATCTATACTTTCAGAGTTTGTTGAGGTTGTTGTGTTGATGATAACAACATATCTTGCAGGCTCAAAGCTATGGCTTGAGCTAGCAGGAAGTCTTCCGGCTCCTGACTGGCAACTCTGAAAAACACAACCACACAGGAATGTCACAATCATCATCTTTTTCATGTGCCACAGAAATAAGCATGCGTATCCATAGGTCGTCACCTCACCACATGACGAGTCTCCAATGAGATCTGTGTCACGATCATAACATATGGCCAAGATTTGAAACTAATGTTTTTTCTTCCTTCTTCGTTTTTCAAGCTTCCATCTATAACTAAGTCTCCAATGAGATCTATCTATGTTCTTGTCACAATTGTGTTGTGTGACCATGATTTGAACTATGTTTTTTCTCTCCTCTTCATTTCTCAAGCTTTCAGTAAGATCTATGTTTTTGTCACGATCGTGTCATGTGACCATGATTTGAAACTACATGTTTTTTCTCGCTTCTTCATTTCTCAAGCTTCCAGATATAACTGAGTCTCCAGTGAGATGTATGTTCTTGTCATGATCATGTTCTGTGGTCAAGATTTTAAACTACATGTTTTTCTCCCTTCTTCATTCCTCAAACAGCCCCATGTGGGTCCCAAGGTCCCACTGTGGGGGAAACTAGAATAGACCCACTGTCTTTCTAACAAGCATGCCGTGACAATCGACTCATTTGGGGCTTTCTTCAAAGTTGGAGTGCATCTGCCTGAGAGGCAAGGAAACAATAGTCTGTAAACAAATAAAGGAGATTTGCAAAATAGATGCACACACAAAATTCAGATCTTGGAAGAAAGTCAAAGTCCAGAAATGAATGAAAAACCAGGGGTTTCCTCCGGTGTTTACAGCCAGTGAATGCAAACTACAACAAAATTCCTCAAACTGTGGGATACGACTAAGTTTCCAAGCTGTAATTTTCCAGCAAGTGCTAGAGGCTCTCCCCCCAGCTTGAAAATCCTGGCTTCAATTCTGTATAATTGTCAGATCCTTCATAAATAACCCAGACTTCTAGTCAGCCCAGCTTCAAATTGATACCAGGAAATTTCCTGGGAAGTAAAGATAGCCGTCATGTTGTTGACTTTATCTCTCATTTCTCTCATATCTTTGATTTATTGAAACATAATTATCTGGTAATCTGGTAATCCTAGTTTCAGCTTCATAGCAAACGGGTCACCCCATAGTTGCTCCGCTCCTGTGCCAAAACATAAATATGGCACCATATACCAAAGGCACCAATAGCCTGGGAAGGATTCACTTACTTAGAATAAATTTCTCTTATTTGTACACAAAAAGATATCACAACCAGATTTAAGTAAGCTTTACATTATCACAAACACAAACGACAAGTGAACATCGTGGCTTAACGCCTTCCTCAGCACATTATATGAATACAAATATATGTCTGGTCTATCTAGCAAATGAAGATTCACTGTCATGTTTTCTAAAAATTACGTTGAGAGGCCTCAATCTCTTCCACAGCATGACTTTCTTACAATTGTATAAAAATCATGAGAACAATTTATTTTGAACTGCACACCGCTGCGGGACTGATCACTAGCACTCGAGGGTCATGAAATTTGAAACTGTTAGCTGCATTCACTGACCTTCAAGCCTCAGAGCCTCAATCCATGAACACACACTATCACAAGCAAAAAAAAAAAAAGAATATATAAAATCACTTAACTGAAGTGTCTCAAAGACAAATCACATTATATGTCTGGCCAGCTGAATGTCTGAAAAGTGTGAGACCACAGGAAATAAATACTAGCCAGTAAAAAGCTGTGAAGGGCAAAGGCCATAAATCAGAAACATTAGATAACTCTGTTGGGTGTTGAGTCCCCTGAGCGAATTAGAGCCCATTAGAAAGATAAGGCATATAGTAAGTATAATGAATGGAAAGACACTACTGATGTGCTTGCTAAACAAACAAGATCATAACATGATGCTACGTACCTGTCCAACAGCGGCGGCTCATCTTGCCCTATGCTTGCTTTCATGGATATTTGCAGAGCTCTTGCCATGGCTTCATCTTCATTCTGTGAGAGATCAAATTCACATGTATAGAAATCAACAATTCAAATTCTCATCAAATAAAACAGGAGACTATATCAATATATATCAGACATTATAAAATCTGTGTTTCTTCTCTACAATGAATGGAGAAAAAGGAATCCACACTGAATGAACCAATGGTGCCATAAAAGAGCGCAGTTCCCTACAAGGAAACAGTCCACCAATTACAAAGTAGAGGCAATGGCACTGTAGGAGTCATTGTCCACTTTACTTGACAAATGTGGCTCCGAGTCAAATGTAGTTTAAATGACAGATGCTCGCTCAGTATTGCTAGCAATACAAATTAGGCAACTATCATTCAATAAGCTTATATTTAGGCTAAACCAAATGGATCAACTAACCAAGCAAACTGTGCTCCAGTGCATCTCAAGCCACTGCAACATTAAGGGAAATGAAAGAGCAAGGCTTGGCCAGATGGTACTCCAATGGAAACTAAGCCGTACTGAACAATAGAAGACCTGTGTTGAGCCACAGACTTCACACAGACGTACAGCCTTCGCACTGATATCAACCATAACTCCATCATCTAAAGCCATCTTGAAGTGGCTTTTGATTAATTTGTAAACTCCCAACAGATCCTTAAAAATATTTATATAATCTTTATGAAAAACCTTTAGTGCATTACATCCAAAGAGGTTTTAAAAATTATTAGTATATCCTTAACAAGGACTTGGCAAATCAGTTCAAGCATTTACTAATGTTCTGTGAATTCACTAGGCAATTTTACATTCAGCAATTTGTATTGTGAAAGGGGACGACATGCCAATTTGAAAAATGTGCTAGCGATCTGCTTGCTACTAAATCTTCGGAAGATGACTTTGGTATGTCAGGATTGTGAGACTGCATTCACAAATCCTGAGTGTTCTCATGACTTTGAAACAGCGCTATCCACATGTGGGTTTCAGGGCCCCATTTTGGACAGAATAAGAACAGGCCCACTGAACCCAAACAAGCATGCTATAAAAGGTGACTAAACTAGGATTTATTCCTTCGAAGTCAGAGTGCATCTGTCTGGGTGGAGGAACCAATACTCTGCATATAAATAAGTCAGATCTGTATAATGGATGTGCATGCAATACTCAAGTTCTGGAACACAACTTAATCCAGAAGTGGACAAACAAGCAAAACATTTTGCCAGAATTTATAGCCGGCGAAAGCTAAGAAGAAAATTTATGGCCAGATTTATTTCTTATGGTTAACTAAATGTAGAATGTACACATGATGCCATGGTAAAGATTCAAGGAACATAGTCAATCTTCTTCCTAGCGTTCACTGGCTGTAAACTCCAGTGAAAAGTGCTGGTTGCTAGTCTACTCCTGCACTTTTTTCTGGATCCAGAACTTGAGTTTTGCAATACACGTCCATTTTTCAGATTTGGCTTAACTGTATGCAGACTGGTGGTTTCTCATTTATCAGGCAGATGCACATGACTGTGAAGGAAACAATCCTAATTAGTCGCCTCCTACGGCATGCTTGTTAAGGGGGACAGTAGGTCTATTCATGGTTCTCCAAAATAGAGCCCTGGAACTCACACGGGGAGAAACAGTCAACGACTCGTCATGGGACTGAAGGTTTATATACACAATATTACCATTGTAAAAAACAAACAACATCGTTTATATACACAATATTACCATTGTAAAAAACAAACAACATCACTGTAAACAAATAATATCAATAAGGTATCAAGCAGAATTGCTGATGTATGCTGGGAAAAAAGACTGGTAGATAGCAGTTAGCACATGAAGGCTTGGGGGGATCAGAATCCAGATCTCCTGATGTGAGTGACCAGTGTTCCCCCCCCCCCCCCCACACCCCCCCCCCCCTCCCCCCCACACTACTGTCACATGAAATAACAACATACCATGCTGGCCTGGAATGAGGTCAAGTCTGCTACAGCTTCCGGTTGTCTATCACTGAAACAGAACAGCATAAATAGTTGGTTACTGTGCCAGGACAGGAAGCAGAGCACCACACTGGTCAAGATCTAGCTACATCTCTTCATGGTCATCCTAGAAGCATGCTCCTAACAAGAGGCATAGGCACCGTTGCTAGGATTGATGTTTCCTTCACAGTAGGAGTGCCTTTACCTCAGAGGCAAAGAACCAACAACAGTCTGTTGCTAGGATTTATGTCTCCTTCAAAGTAGGAGTGCCTTAACCTCAGAGGCAAAGAACCAACAACAGTCTGTTGCTAGGATTTATGTCTCCTTCAAAGTAGGAGTGCCTTTACCTCAGAGGCAAAGAACCAACAACAGTCTTTTGCTAGGATTTATGTCTCCTTCAAAGTAGGAGTGCTTTTACCTCAGAGGCAAAGAACCAACAACAGTCTGCATACAAATAAACCAAACCTTAAAACAAAGTGCAGACAAAAGTCCTGGAATCAGATAAAAGTCCTGAAACAACCAAAACTTTCTGCTGGACTTTACAGCCGATAAACATGAAGAAGTGTGAGGATTATTTTATAGAACTACTAGGTGATATCTGCCCCTGCTGTCTGTATTTGCCACTATTGTGGTGTAGGCATGGAGGGTGGGGTCGCTGAGCCTGAGCATTTAGGGCCGCATGGCTAGTGTTGCGGCCATAGACTGCGCAAGTTAGGATTTTACTTTTCCTCCTGACAGAAAAAAAAAATCTCTAGCCTTACTCAGGATTCAAACCTGGGAGCTTGGCTTGAAAGCCCTGTGATTTAACCGTTGAGCCAGCTGCTCCTCACTTTGTGAAACCAACATCATCAAATGGTTTGCCAACTGACAACGATGACCATGCTTCACAAGATCTCATGATGTCTAACTTATCATCATCATCATGTGCAGTTCCGGTTAAGCGAAGGCTGTTACATTTCACACAATCCATATTGCGGATCAGTTTAATGTTTCTGTCTCGTCCCATCCATTTGGCCACGTCATCCAGGTATTTATCTCTTTGCCTTCCTCTTGCTCTCTTTCCATCTATCTTACCAGCTGTTACCAAGTTCTTGAGTGCATTCCCTCGCATAACATCTCCAAAGAACCATTCACTGTATGTCTGATTTTAAAAATAAGTTTATGATGTTCATCTGTCTCAATGGGGACTGCTTCATTTATTTTTCTATCCTTCCATGATACTCTTTGCATTTCCTCCTAAACCACATCTCTTTCAGAAGTTCATGTTTTTCAGCTTGTTTGTTTATAACTGCTTGTATCAATTCATGTGCTGTAAATTTTCCTGCCATGATAAAATGTAACAAAATCACTGTCTTCTTCTATCTCTACTTTCATAAATCTTTTCAATTGTTATCTGTTTCTGTTGGTGCTTTCATGCAACCAAAAAATCATGACTATATTGCAATAATGATAACTCCTTCTCCCTAAATAAATTCAACAAAATGGCTCTACCAAACGATGCCAAACAGGAAATTGAAAAGACCTGGGTATTTTTCTGGTGGTACACAGAACCGTCATCTTATTTCAGTGGCAATGCACATTTAAAAAAAAAATTTTCTCTTAAGATTAACAGTCCTGGGTAATGCAAAATGACAAGTATACTCCACCACCAAAATAAAAATAATAACCTTACAAGAGAAGTATAAACAACAAACTTTCATAAATTCAGTACCATCTCAAAGATAAATACATCTAATGATGGGAGAATAAGAATAACTTACAATGAAATGACAAAAAAGGCTGACTTCAAATATATGTTGCCCTTATGGGAGATTGACAAGAACACACAAACACGCAACAAGCAAAAACTTACTAGAAACATTTGCTGCTGTTCTCAGCACCACTAGATGATGGAGCAGGTAACGAGGGGGCCTGTGTTTTTTTCTGAGCCCTCAGAATTGCAGCTGCCCTTATAAAAAAAAAAAATCAAACTGTAAATGACCATGACGACAGATTTTAAGCTGTAGATAATATAGACATCTTTGCTTGGTTGTTTATCACAGTGGTATTCACTTCCCATTGTGCGCTATGGTAGCATTTTTCTATTAGCTTTGTAGCTAAGTATTTTTGTTTTTGCTCGTTTGTTGATGAAATTTTTGGTCGAAGCATTTGCTTGCACCTGAGTTCCTTTCCTTGATTTAAGTTCAGTAGTACAGTGTCGTTTTAACTAACTTCCAGTAACTAAAGCTCTATTTGAGTTATTATCATGTTAGTAGGACCATTGCAGAACGTGGCTCTTATCATGGCCCGCCTAACGGCCTCTGCCCCTCCTTCCTGGTACCGTGCTTTCAGCTACTATTTTTTCCAATCCGCCATGGCTCTTAATATGGCCAGCTTCCGAGACAAGATATATATAGGTCAACTTACATATGAAAATAAAACAAACTTTTTGATTCAATGAATTGTCTGCAATGAGATCAACTCATTAGCAAATCCTAACATATAGTTTCTGGAATCTTTATGTGTAGACCTAAATGCCAACTCTTACCCAGCACTGCTAATAGCTCTCCCTGAACCTTGAAATCCTTTGCAGTTGTGATCTTGTTGGTGGCGATGATGAAAGCAAAAGTTGAGACGACAGCTGTCACAAACAACTGGAACCAACTGTGTGAGAAATCAAAGAATAATTACATTGTTCTTTGGTGATAAGAATGTTGGAAAACATATTTATAATTTCTAGTCAATATGGTGGATAGCAGGCTTACAATTTTAAGTTATGGCAAATTTTTGCCTCAGACAATATGACAGCAGATGCATTTTCCTCCCTAAGTAGACTGAAAGGATATAACTCTGTTGCCCAGCTATGGAGGTGAGTGCTTGGTGTGACACTGTGAGTTGCAGATTTCATTTAAGATGTCTTTCAACTCTGCCCAACACTGTCTGTGTTGTGAACTGCAGAATCATAAAATGGCAAACGTCGTGCTGGCAAAGAGCTGGTGATGCCTTCAGCTTGATGAAGTGTATGATATATATTCTGTCCATTTCTTGACGTTTTCATTCCAGGTTATTTGTTCCCCTACTCTTCTTCGACTACCCCCACCCCACCTTTTCCCACCCAATGCTCCTTGCAGTACAGACTTCACAATCGAATCATGTCTCACCACGTGCCTGAATCAAGCTAGCGTAGCTCGCTATGTTTCACCCCTGCCAAGACATGCTACAAGATCTTTGGAGAAACATGAATGCCTTCGCTTCTTTGTTACACATGTTTATAATGCTTTAGCTTTTTTCAAAGTTTTCACTGTTAATTTGGCTGTGAAATGTTTTTTGAAGTTGTTGCTGCTGTTAAGTGTTTCATCTCCAGGACTGTAGTCAGTAGGGTTTAGGGTTAACATCATAGGAATCAGAATCACACACATAAAAAAACTCCACCAACCGGTTCAGTAATATAGCACAGTTATATTGGGGCCCCACACAACGATTACAATGTAACCTGTAGACCAGTGTGGGTGGGTCTTGATGACCGGCAGTCCGTGGTATTTACAACATCTGTTTTAGAAAGTACAACTCTGGTATGGATTTGCCCGATGTGCAGTGAGGCTAATTTGTCGATTAACTAACTAACCAACTAGAACAGGCTAATAAAAGGTCTGTTTTCTTATACGGGTGTGAGAGTTGGACTCTCACTGTGGAAATGGAAAGGACGATTCAGGCTTTTGAATGTAAATGCTACAGACGCATTTTACGAATTGGTTATTTAGAACACAAAACTAATAAATATGTCAGAGAAAAAATTTACAAATTTGCGGGACATCTGGAGCCTCTCTTGGTAGTGGTTAAACCTCGCAAGCTAGCTTGGTGTGGGCACATGGTGAGACACGATTCAGTTGAAGACTACTTCAAGGAACATTGAAAGGGGGGGGGGGTGTAGTCGAAGAAGAGGAGGGCAAACAAGAATCTGGAATGACAACATCAAGAAACTGACAGGACTAAGTTATCATACACTAATTCATAAAAGACAGAGAAATATGGCGGGTTTTATGTGCTAGTACTTCCATCAATACACCTCCATGACCCTAATAGGTCAAGGGTTATGTTTTGTTTATGTTAATAAAATGTTCAGAGAACAGATTTATAATAATAAAAGTTGGATCAGGAAAGTACCATTACTGAGTCGTTTTGATCAACAAGACAATGAATAAATCTGTGATGACTTGAGTTCTCTTAGCGGCAGTCCAGACACATCCACAGAAGTTCAGATTCCCCCTTCAACATATACATCCTACTCTGTGGTCAATGGTACCAGTCCTATGCTGGATAACAAGACTTCTTGTACGTCGGGTGTGCCCCTCATGCCTGGCTGTGCTGATCTTTACTCCCAATTCTGTCATTCTTAGCAGAGATGTGGACATGCTGCTGCCAAAATCCTCCATCTCTCAATTTTTCTCAGGGCATTAACAATGCAGGCACAATCCACAGGTCCTCCAATAGTTCTATCTCTCTTAGGGCATAAACAATGCAGGCACAATCCACAGGTCCTCCAATAGTTCTATCTCTCTTAGGGCATTAATAATGCAGGCACAATCCACAGGTCCTCCAATCGTTCTATCTCTCTTAGGGCATTAACAATCCACAGGCTGGCCATCTGCAACTAAGGCAAAACCAGCCCCTCTTTCAGCTTTTTATTTTCTAAAAACATCAGTAACAAATCTGAATCTTGGATGACAGCTCGGCATAAACAACCTTACCTCCTTCTTCTTACAGCCCTTCCTGGAGCATCTGTTTGTGTAGACCTTGCAGAGAAACAAAAACAAAGGTTAATCTACAGAAATGTTAAACAATATCTACTGCTGGATTTTGAAGATGTGGACTGTTTGATGATTTTCCCCATGATGGGTAACGGATGTACGATTTTTAGGGTTTAAAACAAGAACCACCTCCCCAACAAGTATGCTGTAAAACGTGACTAATTTAAAGTTTTTTGTGAAATGGGTTGTGCTGTGCTAAAAGGTGAAGATACTGTAGCTTAGCTGTAAAAAATAATACAGCGTGCAGACAGACCTTAAAAAGGACAACACATAACAAGTTTAATGATTACATTTGAACTGTTATTGCTTTTAGATGATGAGTATATATTATTTACCCTAAACTGCGCCAACTTCTTCTTCTTGCTCATTTCAAGCTTTTGAGGGTTAGTGCCAGAGATATCACCAGCTTCCAGTCATCTCTGTGATTGGCAGACAGACAAACTGTGCCAACATGTCTAGAAACACTGTACAGCCAACAGACATTAAGCTGCGGGGACTAATTTTAACTGTTTACTCTTTCTATCGTGTGCCTCTTCACGTGTGTATCTCTGTATGCATGTGTATGTGCATATGTGTCTCTCTCCCTCTGTGTGTGCTCCTGTGGGTGTGTTGAAAAAGTTGTTGTTACTGCTTGTTCTTACCACCTTTAAGACCATGTATGACATAAAGGTCCCCACCTTAAGGTGTTAAGGCTGTATGCCTGGTGCAGTCGCCACAAACTGTGCAGGTTAGGATGTTTATTTTTGCCAATGATAGAAAATATCATACCTTACCCAAGATTGAATCCGGGTCTCCAGAATTCTAATAACGTGTCCAGCCACATGCAGGTGATATAAACATGCATCTAAATTTCCTCAATCCAACACAAGAATTGGGTTCTGTACGCAGACATTTTGTGGGTTTACAAGTAAGTCATCAGGCCTGGATCCTAAATAGTCAGGATGGTTACATATTCAAATTAAGTGATAGCTTTATTTTCAAAATTACCTTCCTTCTGTTTTTAGCTGGATCAGACAAACAGTCTGATTCTATATGTTTGCTCACAACAATATCTGGTGACTCTCCTTTGGTTGTAGGGCAAGGAAGCCGACACAGTGGGCACACTGGCACCTGATTATTCTGCAATGAAAAGTGGATCATTGTTACCAGTTGTGTTGTTGAGTTGGGTCAAAAATTGGCGTTACAGCTCTCCGGGCACTCCCATATACACTTCATCCCCCATCTCCAGCAGCCAGTGTAGGGTTCAAATACTAATGGTACAGATTGTAGTCTGGTTATATGACTGTCTTGCCTTTCCCTCTGAGTGCAGTGTGCTGGCCAGACCCTCTGGTCACACCCAGGTGCATCATTCTTGCCAGGTCATAATAATTCAGTTTCACTTCCAACTTCCTTGTTTGTTACCAAAACACCTTGACCACGTCTGCCATGACATGTATCAGTTCACCACACAGTGGTGCAGGTAAAGCTAATTTTACCAATTAGATCTGAGTGAAATAATACATGCTTGTTTACATTATCCTTCCAGAAAATTCTTAGAATACCATAGACCAAGAAGAACATCCACATCCTTCACGATCTTAGAGAACGTCAAGGAAAACTGGCTCATAAACAGCATCGTGTCACGAAAGCTGAGGTGTTTTGGCCAGGTTAAACATAGTGGTAGCTTGGAGAGGAGGGTGATGGCAGATACATATGTAGAAAATTAGGCATGCCTAGGCAAAGATGGATGCAAGACACTCACGATGAAAGCACACAGGGCTGGAGGAAAACTGGCTAGAGAAAGAGGGACTGTCATGCGTGCTGCAATGAAAACCTCGTTTTAGTCAGAACCTGCCCAGTGGTGTTGATTCTTCAGAAAACAAGGTATATCCCAGCTGAGGATCAATTTCATTTGAGACATTCTATGTCGCAAGACAACAAAGTCAAATACATCTGGTGGCAACAAAGGTCTTGAAATCTAATGCTTTTACTGTGGAAGGATTTTTCTTAACAAGAGCGGGTGTTGCCAGTCACATAAGCCATCGTCATAGGCTATGATTTTCACGCCTGCCTATAGCAGAATATAACACTATCACCCTGAAAGAAGGAAAATAAGACAACAAAACTATCACAACCAAGCATTAAATGAGGCACAAGCTTTCTGCAAGTGGCAGCCACTACACCACAACATCTGATCTTAATTGCCAAAGCATGGACTGAGTTAGTTAAGTCTTTCCTCTTGAGCCTAGGGCGGTGCATAGGGCAGAGGTCAAAGATCTCCACGTCAGACGGTACGTTGCCACCTGTTTTAGGTCTTGGATGTTCATTAAACCCATGGCCGGGCTTTCCCTAATGATGATCTATGCAGGTTCTCTCTTGGTCTTGCCCGTTTTCTTTTCCTTTCCGGTGTCCATATGAGGGTTTGATGGGTGAGTCTTGTCTTATCCATTTTTTAATGCATGGCCGATGTGCGGTTCCGGCAGTACTTTCTTATAAAATTATAAGCATTATCTTGCTTGGTCTCTTGTTTTATTTGCGTATTGGACTGAGTCGCAGACAATTATCACTCTGCTCAAGTAACTTATCGCAAACAGCATTTCAGTTCCACAGCTGCTCCTCTATTCCCAAACAGGAGGTTGTTACATGAAACACCAGGTTCAGCTCTGTAATGACTCTCATAGAGGTAGCTGAATACTACTAAAGATGGGGAGCCATGAGGTAGCGTATTGGATAGACTCTCACTTGTTGGTCCGAAGGTCTAGGGTTCAAATATGCATCTAGGTGGGTTTTTTTGTTTGTTGTTGTTGTTTAAAACTGAACTTTGCTTTCAGATCTACCCAGTCTAAAAATTAGCATTAAATAATGTAAAGTTGTGCCCTCAAACAACAAATATCACAAAAGTTAGTGTATGGATAAGTATGACCGTCTTAGATTTCCCATTTACTTATGATTTCATAATTTACATCTGCAGGGGTGTTGCCAGTTTCTTCCAGCAGCAAATTTCTTTGATCTTTTATTGCTATCTGTATGCTTTGAATTGGTATATGTTTTTTCATTTAGGACAAATAATGCACACACACACAAAAACTAGAAGTATGTTAACATTATAATTTTATTTTCCTACAAGGACATGATTATTAAGAGGTTGCAAATCTCAACAAATTACACTGAACGGTTACTTAGTAATAGATTCTGTATGTTGGGCCTGATTTTTGGAATGGACTTTAGATATGACAAACAACTTCACAATGTAAAATGTCATTGACGTACCTTTTTATAAGACTCAGAACAATCATGTGTGGCATACATAATATGGTCCCGACTGCAAGGAGAAAATAAAAGCACATTATCAAACATGTCAGCTATTTAACTGATCATACATATGAAAAAAAAACAACTGAGTGGTTTTACGAGATTCTTCGGACTTAGGCTTGAGTTAGAAGTAGAACAGAGCACTTATGGGTTACCACCCTTGTTGATCTGTTGTCTGAACAAACGAACATATAAAAACATTATACAATCATATGAACACTGTAACAGATCCTTTTACAGCTACTTGGTGGCAAGCAATGTTAAGCTATTTTACATGGTGCACATAATCTAGTTACAATTAGGCTATCCTCCGAATAACGGTCCCAAATTATCGAGGCCGAAAATATACCCTAACAGGGCCTCAGTCACATGTAAATTGCGGACTTCCGACGACTATACCACCACCGCTGAGAGTATCTCCAGCGCCCATACGCGCGGAGTGGAGTGAGGCTAAACTAGATGGCTGGGACTCACAAGCAAATAAAATGAAGGAAGCTGCAGGAGATGCGGCAGTGTTCATGAGTCCCGGCCATCTAGTTTAACCCTGCTCCGAGCGGAGCTTTTCCGCGGTAAGCTGTGTAGTGCGGGAAAGAAGACCGTAATTTACATGTGACCGAGGCTTTGTTAGAGTATATTTTCGGCCTTGATAACTTGGGACCGTTATTCGGAGGATAGCCCACAATTGTAACCTTTGGGGAGATGGCTGAACGTGATGATTATTTTTTCACCACTAATCATGGCAAGTTGTGTCTGTCCTACCCATGTGGTTAACCCATCCAATATTAATCTTGTCCCCTTCTCTTTGTTCTTTTCTATTAAAGTTACTAGTGGTAGCTGTTTTACAATATATTTCTCCTCATAACATTCCCTCCCCCTCCAATGTTCAGACATTTGTTTGCATTTGTTTTATGGAAGAGTGCCTCATGTGTTAAAAGTAGTCATCAAAATTGCAAAAATGAGTCAACATGTAATAGAAAACATTTGCCAAAACAAAAACATACCAAAATATTTGGGAGCAAGCATCACATTTCATCGGCAGAAAGTCTGGAGAAAAACAAATGAGCAGAATATATATATTCATTAGATGGATTACCATAATGTAATATCACGGGGGGTTTTTTTTTTTTTAATGACAGTTGTTATGTAGTCTGACCACAGTTAATTAGAAAAGAAAAAAAATGTATGCTCACTACATATTAGACATTTTTTTCTTCTTCTAGTCCATGCAGTGTGGCGCTGGTAGTCATGTCTTTTCACAACCTTCTGTCTTGCATACTTTCAATCAATTCTGACACTGATTATCTTCTATGCCACAATGTCAGACTGTCCAGCAGCATCTTTTCTCTCAGTATCCCTCTGCCTCTTTTCCCCTCCAACTTTCTCACTGTCAAAATGTACTCTTGTCTTCTCCATCCCATGACTTTAACAAAGAACATAGAATGTTTCCTTCTGATGTAATCAATTATTTTTGAGTCATTATATCTGCATTCCTCTGCAGCATTCCCCTACAGTGTTCTCATTCATACGAGTCACTTATGTATATCATGATATAATTTATACAGCTCTTGAGAATTCTCTTTCTCACACAAAGAAAGATTACAAAGAATATTCTTCATTTTATAAAATGATGATTTTTCTTGAAATATTATAAACTTGACTTCTTTCATATCTTCCATAACATAAAACGTCATATGCCAGACAAAGAAGACAATAAAGTCTATGTGGCCACATCAAGTAGTTACGTCGCCCATCTTCTGAGTTGAGTGCATGGCGTGACACTGTGAGTTGCGTTTGTTTTTCGTTGGCACAGGAGCAGAGCATCTGTGGGGTGACCCGTTTGCTATGAAGCTGAAACTAGGATTACCAGATTACCAGACTTGAATGAATGGACAAATTTATACAGATTTCATCACTGTAATTTTAACAGAGGGAGTTGTCGAATTATACTTTTTTTCTGATATATTAATTGAAGAAGCGGGCTGTTACGTCAGGACCAAGCCTCTACGAACCTTTACCTTTAAATGATTTCTTAGTTCTAGTATAGTGCCTACCGTAGGCCCTACGTCCATAATTTTTCAAACTTTGTAAAAGATCTTTGGCAACAACTTACCCAGCTGTTTGCAGGTTGGCTCAGTACATTGTTGTCCTAGTCGTGGCAATTCCATGACGACTTCAAACTGTGTATATCTTAGTAGACTGATAAAATATATTGTTGAGTGATGAAGTTTCTTCGTACAAATAACAATGATGTTTTGACTTGTGGCGTTATATAGAGCCCGATTTCACTGACTCATTTGATGATTTGTAACTTTTGAAACTGACTTTTATGTCTGCTATCTTAGTAAAATAAAAACTCCTACTTGACACATTACGCAGCATAACATTACACTTCACTATTTAAAAATGCGACAAAATAAAAGATAATGATATATTAAAATACACAATATTAACAAAACTGTAAAATATTATAAAATGATTGCATAAGTTTTCTTTATATTACTTCATTTTACATGTTTGACTTCATGTTTTCTTTTGTTGTCAGAAAGTTGTTGTTTTTAATGCATCTAGTTTCTAATTATAGACACAAATATTTGCAAGTCACCGGAAAACTCTTTCTAAATTTAGAAATCTGGAAGTCTCTAGACCAGTGTTTCTCAACCTTTTTAAACCCTCGGCCCACCAAGATAGGGGAAATTGTTTCGTGTCCCATCTGATAGCTAGCTCGCCATTTTTTTTTTTTTTTTACGTATCCAGAAACCATGAGTTGTAAACCCTTTTTGGCTCGGTACTATGGATATCGCAACCCTTCGGCCTTGATTCCATTATAGGTACCGTTAATCTGGGAGAAATGTGGCTTTTCTGCCTACCCCCGGGAGTGAACCCGGACCACAAGGAGTTCGTCACCCGGCCGCCGCGAAAGTCAGGTTTAACCAACTTCGCTAGAGAGCCGGGCCTAGCTCGCCATAAGAAGAAACAAAACCAATTGTAGATAACAGTTTATTTATTGATTCTAGTATCACAAAGTTAACATTTTCAGCTAACACACATCTGCTGCTTAAAGGTTTAAAAAAAATTTGAATTAAAAATCGACATCACAGCACTCAGGACACCCCCATAAGCGCTCCGTCCCCATTTTCAGCAGCAAGCGAACAGTTACAATTCTGATGGTACCAGTAACTGTCTGATTGTTTATCCGTCTCGCCTTTCCCCTGAGTGTCGAGCGTTGACCAGATCCGCTTATAACTCCTCGCGGTGCCACTCTCCTCACACCGTCATGATCTATTTATGCCTCCTCACTGTTCACTCGCTCCCAAAAGGCCCTTACAACATCAAGCATGTCACGCATCAGTTCACCACCAAGAGGTGAAGAACCGGCTAGTCTATCTGCTTGCTCATTTCCCAACACACCGGCAAAACCTGGAGAAAATATCCAAAGGATGCTAACTACCAGGGACCTTTGAAGTGATGCTTACCGCTACGCATGCTCACAGCATTTCACATTCATTATCATCATACAGCCGTGGACGCTAGATGTCCATATTTCTTTACCTCATAGCATTTTACTTTCATCTGACAACATAGAGTTCTGGTCGCTAGATCAAGGCTAATTTATTTTTTTAAACACAAAATATGAGTAACTGACATCTGAGAGTTACATCGAAATGTTGAACAGCGTTTTCATACCTGGGCTACACAGAAGATTAGTTAGATTAGATTAGTTAGTTGGGTTATCATCATTCCACTCCGGACGTGTCCATAGGATCTCAGATACTCCCCTCAGTATGAACCACAGCGTCTGGTGGCTAATTGTAACAGTTCTGTGGTGATTACCAGATACTCTGATGTGCGTCTCGTTTTTAGCTATGCCAATCTTAAGTCCCAAGTCTATCATTCTGGCAAGTGTTGTGGATTCCATGCCCCCCCCCCCCCTCAAGTCCTCCACCCTTCCCATTTCTAAGAGAGCATTAATAATTAATAAAAACACGATCCATAGGTTGAACGTCGTTAGTGATAGCGGATCCAGCCAACCTATACGCTCTTTTATTTCTATTGGCGCCCGCGTATCCTGGAACGAAAATTAGCATTGCCTCCGCGCCGAGCCTGTCTGAACCCTCGGGGTTATTCTCATTGAATGACTGAGTACACACAAACCGGGTGTAATTCTGTGTTTCGACCCACTCGAATGCTTACGTTACCGCCATCACCTAAATCGTCTTACTGCTGGTTGTCATGGAGAAGGCGCCGTTGGCTTCTTTGACTGTTCTGCCCGCTGAGCGTACTGTGAACGCTCATGCGCTTCTTTGTTAGCATATAACGGATCCGCCTGTGTAGATTAGGATATATGCCTCGTCAGAATTTTCACACCGATGAGAGCGTTGACCTCTGCACTGACAGCAACAGGATTCTACTCCCTGCATCTCCTGTCGGGTGTGGTATAACAGAAAAATGTACAAATAAATCCACGAGGTAAGGTATCCACTCTGCACCAGGGAGAGGGGGGTGTCGATTAGGCTGCATATTTGTTTGATAACATCTCTGCACTGACAGCAACAGGATTCTACTCCCTGCATCTCCTGTCGGGTGTGATATCTCATTGTATAACATTTTCAAAAATTTGTAGCACTGACAGTGAGAATGGCTAGAGCTTATTTAATAGGAGAACGAACCAGCCCATAGAAGTCTTAGTAGTCTTTGCTCGATATTAGAAGTAGCCATAACCCTTATTGCAGATAGACTTTTGCTATCACAACATGGTCAGTATGTTCCTTGAGTGGAGTTATTATTTGGGTTATCTTCACGGCACTCCAGGCAGGTCCATGGGCGCTTAGATTCCCCCTTCAACATATACATCAGCGTCCCACGGTTGATAGTCCCAGTCCGGTTTGTTGACAAGACAACTCGTACGTTCAGTGTGCTTCTTGCGCATGGCTGTGCCGATCTTTACTCCCAATTCTTGTACTCTTAGCAAAGATGTGGAGGTGCTGCTCCCAAAATCCTATGAACCTCCTACTCTCTAATGGCATTAACAATGCCGGCATGAGCCATGGGCCGGCCCTCTGTAACTAAAACAGAGCCGGCTAACCTGTCGGTTCTTTCATTGCCAACATCACCCGCATACCCTGTTACAAAGATGAAGGTAACTCCAGACAGTGGAGTTTTGCAATGACACGATCCACTGTCTTCGTACACAGCCTGCCTCGACCCGCCGGATCATGCTCATGGAATCACCCAGTACACACGCGAGATTAGCCCTGCGAAGCTAGCCACATGAAAGCTCGTGTTAACGCCATCACCTCCATTGTCATGCTGCTATTAGTCATACAAAAGGCACCATTGGCATCCTGGACTGTTCTGCATCAAGAGCACACAGTAAATGCCCATGCATTGGGGGGGGGGGGGAGGAGAAAGGGATCCTCGTACAACGAACCCATCTGCTTAGATATAGTACATACGACTTATCTGAATATTCACATGTAAGTGCGTAGACCTCTCTTTGCATTGAAAGCAACTGGATTCTGCTCCCGACAGCTCTTATCAAGCGTGTCAACACAGGAAAAGGTGCACTTGAGCACAGGTATGCAGTCTTTGCCGAGGTGGATGTCAATGAGACTGCAGACCTGTATGATATCGTCCTCTGCCCTACTATCTATCGTTCCCTGAATGACAAGCTGCGATCAAACCTCACCCAGAAATATGTCATCACGTTGGTTTTGATCAACACATACAAATATGAGGTACCGATCATCAACATTTGTGGTTTCTGCAAGATGAGGAAGCCACGACAGACACCGCTAGCGCGTCAATGACGGTTCCTTACCCCGTTTCCCAACCTGGCTGGCTAGTTTTAACACACACACAAAAAACGAGGTCCTGTTCAATAGGTTCTATTCGAACCCTTGTCCCTGTTGTCGACCCTACGGTTCCTCCCAATTGAGCCAACCTCTTTTCGTTTAACCATTACTGGAGGATTTTCATTTTTTGGCCCTTTATTAATCCTTTGTCGGCTCTGTGGCTAAGTCGATGCGAACACTTCGCTTCGTAATGCCGGGATGCCAGGTTCGATCCCAGCTGCGGGCAATGCGCCTTGCGTTGGTTTCGACAGTGGTATCAAGAAAGCCGACCGTCCAGAAGCAATGGCAAACTACTGGACGTAAATTTGCCTAGAGAAACCACACAACAGCCAGGGGCTGTTAGGGTTGGTTCTGCAACGTCCTCTAGAGGATACGCAACAACCTTTATTAATCCTTTATAGTGACTGGTCTCTCTTAGCTGCTGTCCATTTTGTGTTTCCGTTCCAACCGTCTAACTTCAAAATGTTGTGTCCCCTCTGAGTCCTGTGAATTGTCCTCTTAATTTTTTTCTAGGGGATACCTCAAGTGACGTGTATACGAGGGCAACCTCGTAACTTTGATGAACTGAAGCAAGGATCCGCCAACAAATCACCAAAGATCTGCAGCAAAGAGTGGAGGCCAATGTTTGTAAGCCTTCAGCAATTTGTCGATAAAAATGAACATCACATGCCAGATATAAATTTTCTGTTCATGATTACTATATTCTTACATACAAGATCCGACAATTAAGTAACGAGACTAATTCCATAAAAATTAAAAAAATCAACAGTTAAAGATATAACCTATATTTTATTCAAAGTAAGCCCCTTGTGCACTGATACAGTGAGTAGCACAATCTAACCAACACTGGAACGACCTCTCAAGTTCTTTTGTTGCTATGGCTATCTTAAAGACGATGTTACAGCCCTTTGGATGTCATCAATTTCGTCAAAGAAGCGTCCTTTCAATGGTAACTTCAATTTTGGGAATAGAAGATGATCACATGGAGACAAATCTGAGGAAGAGGGTGGATGGTTGAGAACACACACTTGTTTTGGGTCTAAACATTCCTGTTTTGATGATGTCTCGTGGGTCTTCAACCCGCTGATGTTTTTGGTCATCAGACAACGCTGATGTTTTTGATCATCAGACAACGCTGATGTTTTTGATCATCAGACAACGCTGATGTTTTTGGTCATCAGACAACGCCGATGTTTTTGATCATCAGACAACGCCGATGTTTTTGATCATCAGACAACGCCGATGTTTTTGATCATCAGACAACGCCGATGTTTTTGATCACCAGACAACGCTGATGTTTTTGATCACCAGACAACGCTGATGTTTTTGATCATCAGACAACGCTGATGTTTTTGGTCACCAGACAACGCTGATGTTTTTGATCATCAGACAACGCTGATGTTTTTGATCACCAGACAACGCTGATGTTTTTGATCATCAGACAACGCTGATGTTTTTGATCATCAGACAACGCTGATGTTTTTGATCATCAGACAACGCTGATGTTTTTGGTCATCAGACAACGCTGATGTTTTTGGTCATCAGACAACGCCTGATGTTTTTCAACACCAGACAACGCTGATGTTTTTGATCATCAGACAACGAATGCGGTACAAACCTGCAAAGCATTTTGTGTCTGGCCAAAATCTTGCACTAAAATTTTATGAAGGGTCTCTTTATTAACACAAGATTAATCTGCCATCATCCTGACAGTAAAACAAAAATCTTCTTGTATCCGTTCTTTGACGTTTGCAATGAGTTCATCATTCAGAAATTGGGTGTCCAGGTCTAGTTGTATTAGTAATCATTTCTACACCACTTTTGAATCTTGAATACCACCTGAAAATCTGTGCAGTAGATAATCAATTATCCCCATAAACTTGTGGCATCAACTGAACTGTTGCAATGGCATTTTTTCTGAGTTTTAAACATAATTTAATGTTAGCTTTTTGCTCCATGCTGATTTCGTAACGATGCACATCTAACTAAGTCAATAAAATGGCCATTTATTTGTTGTCTGCTCATCAGGCCGTGATGAAAAGTTGCCAAATCATAGAAGAAGGTTGCCTCTTTGGATTTCATGCTTTGCTTCAAAGATGGCACATTTGTCTTGGCCGTAATAAAATCAGTCTCATTACTTAATTGTCCGACCTTGTATTTTGTTCTACCAATAAATTTGGATACAGCTCCCGAATCTCACCCCATCTCCCTCGCCTGCGTGATTTCACATAAATTCCTACGGGTTGTCCTATGTTCAAGGGATATCAGGTGTTAATGTTTTGAACGTGTTAATAACATACACACCAACGACCGCCAATGCAAATGTGCGCAGAAATACAAAAGTAATGTTTCGACAGTGCAGTACTTCTTACTTGCACACAGGTGTCTTGGCTACACACAACAACATTTGAGAAATAACAGTCGTTTACAGAAAAAGACAGTTGCGTGTCAAGAAAGCGGTGCAGTTTTCATGTGGGAGACAGTGGCGCGCAATTGTGTTGAATGAGCACGAGTCAGTTTCCATTATGGTGTCTGCAGATGTAGAAGAAAGGCATCTCATAACACCCTGTAAACATAGGACAGCCATGAAATACAGTGCCCAATCGAGATGTCTTATATAGATGCACACGTACAGTGTTACAAAACAACAGCACTGTACTAAGATAATTAAAAGCAAACAAAGAGTTCAACATAAATAAAAACACAGGTACCAATCAACACAAGTATTACACTTTAAAACTGTTTTTCTTCTTTAATACAGAAAAAAAGGGAACAAATAGTTTCCTCTGTTCTAACAGAAAAAACAATGTAATACAAGACTCTTAACATGAATGACAAAACAACATAGTCCTGCACTACTTGATAAAGCAACAAAATTAACAAATACAAATTCTGTTGAAAATCGACAACTCTCCAACTAGCGCAAATCAAACTACACTATAATATGATAGTAAACTATGCTGTAAGGAGCTGTTACACTTATTTCTAGTGTTGCTATCTAAAACAAACGAGAATGGAAAAACACCCCACACACAAATAAACATATAGCTAAAGTTGTTTCAGCATTTGCTGAAATTCGATAGGACACTTCTTAGAACGAAAGGAAGTTTGATGTTCATCTGACTGGAATCCAAGGTAACAGAATATCTTTGTACTTCTTGGCCCCTGCAGAAAACATGTTGAAAATACATTCATCATGTTACGAAATAATGCATTCTGTTAACTAGTGCAATTTTACTTTATGTATACAAAAAGATCATGTCATAATTCTCAAGACGTCCATGGCAATCATGCAGTTAATCTTCAGATTTTTACTTCGCTGAGACTGATATGTTTTCCACTATTTTTGCATATGGGAGTGAAGGACATTCTCTGTGATTTACAGTGGCAAAGAAATAGAGCAGTTATGAGGTGACTATGTCTGCAGTGAAACAGGAACCACAACTAACACAATCTCTGTTGGTATGCTGTAAAGTGCAACAGTTTATGTCTAGTGTAAGAAAAGTAAAAGTCTCCTTTCCACGTCTTTAGTTGTATAGAGCATATTGGGCTAGATCTCTAATTTTATAGACCAATCGGCACAAGATGGGTTTGTGGTCAGCATCATGACGGTCGTCTTCACTTCCCGGGACTGCACCAGGTACCCACTCAAGACTGGGTCGACCTGGGAGTCAAAGTCATTTTTGTTAAAAGTCAGGCTCCGCTAGGGAGCAAACCCACGACCTTCGGATCCACAATTGAGTGCCTAGCTGCTACGCCACGCTGACTCCCTATGTCAACTGTAGCAAAGTAGATAGTGGATTCATCTACAAATATGCAAGGGGCCGACATGTGATCCTCAGTATGACATATATTTTCTTATCTGCACATACTCGTTGTAACTAATGAGCATAAAGTCATAACAAAGATGAGATGTCCCAGAAGAGTTGCCAAAGTAACAATTCAAACAAAAATACAAATTAAGACATTAGAAAAAGGCCAGGACCAAAACCAGTCATACAGTTTATTACAGAGCAATAGATGAGGTGATCTGGCCATCTGACGAGAAGCCCTGTAACAGCTATCAAGCCACTCTGCAGATGAAGACTGAGCGACACGGGATTACACTTAGTGCAAGCAAGTTAACCCCTTCACAACTTCAATCTAAACCATGGATATTTCGATGAGGCATTATTTATTAGCCAGCTGTTTAAGCTCTCCATTCACATCTCGCTCTGTCTTTCTCTACATATGCTGCCCCATATGTTCCCAAATACAGCCTAATTTTTCTATTCCGTCTCTTTTGTCGATTGACCTCATAGCTTGAATAATTCACTATTGAGTGATCTTGCAGCATCTGCTGATCTTATAAGACCAGTGTTCTTTTTTCCTTTGTCCATAATATTCTTAACATCCTTACTCACACAAAAACAAAACAAACGCCCAATTTCTTAGGGTCAAGATATGCTACATTGTACTGCAGTACTGCTTTTATACGTGGCTACATATGTCTTACAAAACCCATAGATCAAGTCTGTTACACTAAGTTTACTCAGGGGCCAACATTTTGAAAATGGGGATTGTCACGGACTAGAAGCTTGAACCCTAGCATAAAAAGATCATTGATAAAATACAACTGGCAATGATCAGCAGGCCCACTGCTAGGCTTCCACGGGCCGCCAGTTAAATAGCCCTGCCCTAGAGTGTCAAGTGGCCAATAACAACACAGGTCTACTGGCATATGCCCAGTGCATCTGTGTGCACCAAGGGCAATTACATTGTACGTACATGTATCTCCGGATACATATCTGGACAACTGCTAGTAAATCAGTTATAAGAGAAAGAAAATGGCAATACACTGGGCACCAAAACAAGAAACAAACTGACCAAAGAAGTAAAGGATATCCAGATAATTTTCAGAACTTTATGAGAAGGAAAAACAATGAATAAGCAACTTGCCACCCCATCATATGCTGTTGCCTGGAAAATGCAAAGAATATAACACTTAGCACCAAAATGGCATATGCTATGATATGAGAAGACCTTAAACTTTGAATAACAATGAAAGAAACACTGAATCACACCCACCACATGTAAAAATGGAGCAGCAGCCAGGTGCAGTTGTGGTTTGGTGCCACAGAGAGCAAAACATACACCTCAACACTGCTTTACAGAACAAACAACAAAATAAAAACTTTACAGACTTTTGAGTTCATTCAAAAGATTATAACAAAGTTGTAATAGAAGACACCACTGCAGTTACAGACAATTTATTTCCAGCAAACAATAGAAGAACTGAAAACTAAACCTCGAGGATCTTTGAGGGGGCTTTAAAAAAAAATGCAAAAAAATAAAAAATGAACAGAAAATTTTACAGAAATAGCTTATTTAAGGTTAGTTGCATATCCTTTACAGGACGTTGCAGAACCAACCCCAACAGCCCCTGGCTGTGGTGTGGTTTTTCTAGACAAATTTGCCTCCAGTAGTTTGCCACTGCTTTCTGGACGGTCAGCTTTCTTGATACCACTGTAGACACCAACGCAAGGCGCATGGCCCGCAGCTGGGATTGAACCCAGCTTTACGAAGTGTTTGCATCGACTTAGCCACAGAGCCGGCTAGCTTATTTCAAGCGAATGAAAAAAAAAATATGATATGATGTCAAGTACTTACTGACACGTGGAAAGTCTTCAGGGTGTCTGCAGATGTAATCTTCAATGACACTCACTTGCTGGCTTCTCCGATTGTCTAGGTACTTATCTGCTTCATTTCCAATAAGGTACCCCGCCACGGCAGACGCCAAATGCTTTGGGATTGCTACATGGTTAAAATTAAAAAAATCTTTAGTAAAATAAAAATCCAAGGTAGGCACATAGTGAGGATTTCTACAGGTGCACGATTGGAAAGAAGTAAGCATATGATGCTCATTTCCCCAAGCTCGTTGATGTAAAAACATTCTATGTATACCACTTGCCGTCTGCTAATAGGACATCAGCTTGTCTAGGGTTAGAACCTTTGGGTTGGCATCATGCATCTCAACTTGTCCTCCAAAATCAGGCAGGGTAAACTAAACTGTTGTATGGGAACAGACACAACTATTTCATAGCATAACACAGATTTACGCCAATATTCTTCTGTAAAATCTGTCAACTTCAATGTAGTTTGTCATCTCAATCAACATAATTTCCTGGCGTAAATACTTCCTAGCAAAGACAGCTACCTCTTACACAGATCAGTTACATTATATTCAACACTGCAACTGTCTTCTCTGACTTCTGGTTCACAATCAACTACAAGTGAACTTCTCATCATTCCTCTTTAATTTCTGGTTTACAACTGACTACACGTGAACTTCTCATCATTCCTCTGACTTCTGGTTCACAACTGACTACAAGTGAACTTCTCATCATTCCGCTTTGACTTCTGGTTCACAACTGACTACAAGTGAACTTCTCATCATTCCGCTTTGACTTCTGGTTCACAACTGACTACAAGTGAACTTCTCATCATTCCTCTTTGACTTCTAGTTCACAACTGACTACAAGTGAACTTCTCATCATTCCTCTTTGACTTCTGGTTCACAACTGACTACAAGTGAACTTCTCATCATTCCTCTTTGACTTCTGGTTCACAACTGACTACAAGTGAACTTCTCATCATTCCTCTTTGACTTCTGGTTCACAACTGACTACAAGTGAACTTCTCATCATTCCTCTTTGACTTCTGGTTCACAACTGACTACAAGTGAACTTCTGATCATTCCTCTTTGACTTCTGGTTCACAACTGACTACAAGTGAACTTCTCATCATTCCTCTTTTGGTCTATTTGGCCATGGGTATTCTGCACTGCATGTATCTTGCACAGGCTTTCTGCCTGGCTTGTTGACCATGGGCTAAAATCCAAAACAAGGTGATTACACCAGGTCATGATGCATGAGCTGGAGTTACAGTTTCCTTCTTTGCCATACTTTACCTTTCCAGTCTAGCGTTTCCACAATTGACACTGCACCTGTGCTCAGTCCTCCGATACAGCAACCATACCCAAATACCTCTACTGATTGTTTTTATGAGGAGTTAATTTATAATGTCTCCTATCCTGACCTTAAAGAAGTCATGCTCCACTCCCAGGTCATGTAATTGTATTAGCATCAGAACTCTGTGCTGACTTATGCTCTAACGTCAGGTGTACTGTGTTGGCTACTGTGAGCCTGTATTCTGCTTCTTCTTCACTTCCTCTTTTACCGCTGTGGGTGTCGAGGGAGATATAAGGTTCTGTTTCTAGCTCTTCTGGCTGCCTCGACCATAGGCACATCGTACTGTTGTAGAGTTTCTCTGATGTTATCCTTCCATTTGTTCTTGGTCTACCCCGTGCTCTACGTCCTTCTTCTCTTCCCATGTATGCTTTGTATGGTAGGGTGTCACAAGGCATTCTCTCTAAGTGGGCAAACCATTTCACTTGCTGTCTTTGTATGTAATCCAGAATTGGTTCTGTGAGGACTTGTTCTCTTATGATCTCATTTCTGATCTTATCTCTTATGGTCACTCCTACAGCCCTTCTCAGACATCTCATTTCCGTGGTTACTAATTTTCTTTTATGGTTTGTTGTGAGTGACCATGTCTGGCACTGGTAGCACAGAGTTGGAATAAATATGCTTTGAATAAGATGTCTCTTTGTGCTGATTGGGATTGTCTTATGCTGTAAGAGGAGGGCTAGCTGTCCCAATACTTGGTTTGCTTTACTGCATCTAATGTCAATTTCTTTATCCAATTTCCCATCTTCGGTAAATGTAGTTCCCAGATATTTAAACTCAGCTGCCTGTTTAATGCCTTTGTATTCTATTGTTATGTTTAGATCTGTCTTATTTTTTCCTACTGACATTACTTCTGTCTTTTCAGTGTTGATTCTCATATTATTTGTTTTACATTCTTCATTCATGGATGTTAGATGTTGTTGCAATTTCATGGCTGTGTCTGCTATCAAGGCCTGGTCATCTGCAAAGAGTAATTCGTTGATCTTACTAAGATCTTCATTCATGGGCTTGGCATTCTTGCATATACTGTCGATGTAGGTGATAAACAGCAGTGGTGATAAGACACACCCCTGTCTTACTCCAGATGTCACTGTGAAAGGATGAGATGTTCCCTGATTTATTCTAACTACACTTCTACAATCCCTGTATAAACTTGTGCACACTTCGATGAGGTGTTCACTTACTCCATATCTTGCCATTATTTTCCATAATAATTGTCTGTATTAGTGTAATGAATTCTCAATATATCCGATCCTTGTTCTTTCTCATGGTCGGTAGCCCTTTTCTTTGACAGTTGCAGGCCGTTTTTACAATTGGAACACACAAAATTGTTTTTTGTTATAGTATAACTCATTCACAAATATCAATGACCTGGTGTAGTGTGTATATTATATACATACATACATATATATTTATATATGTAAAACTAATGTTTCACTCCCCAGATCCCGCCCATATACACATTAGCTTAGTTCTGATCGGTAGATCTTGAGCTATGTGGCCTTGGGATTTTGCAGCGCTTTTAACACTCCAAAAACATTGACATACTGGGTCTAACATGACACCCCTAGAGAGTGCTGCAACCTATGTCACAGGCATTCTCTTTCTCAGAATAAAAATGTAAATGCAAGACAACCTAGAAAGCAAACAACAGAGTGGCACACCCGTAACCTGCAGGAAAGTAGACCAGCCCAACAAACTTGTGAATGAAACATGACCTACTTTGTTTGGGGAGGCTAACTTAAACCTAACCATATATATACATATAAAAGACATGGAAGTGAAGAATAGATTAGATAGAAAGCCAGGAGAGTGTACAGGAAAATGGTTAGATAGACTGTTTAATGGGTTAAAGTTATCTATCACAGTATACTTTTTTGCCAGACTATTCTAGAAAATAATTCACATAAAAAAATAAATATTCTAAGGACTCAAATGACTCAATCACAATTTTCTGATCTTGTGTAGGTATAGAGTGGGCCTAAAAAATGTAAAACCTGTTGTTTCAGAACCTAAAAGGGCTCAACTCACTGAAAATTATGGTAGCGCCAGACGTAGAGAAAAAATGCCGCCCAAAATGTACCAGCAGCTTGATTTTATTTCCATGATAGATTATAGACTGGGGTGCTACCGAATCAAAAAGTCAGCTGATGAAGCTTAAAAGCATATAGAATGAAGCCATGTGGGTGATTCTAGAAGAAACATCCTTGCACTGCCGACATGCTCAAAGTGTTACAAGCCAGGTCATGCCTTAGAGTGGCAACTGACAAAAACCACCTTCTTCATGAAGCCATGTGGGTGATTCTAGAAGAAACATCCTTGCACTGCCGACATGCTCAAAGTGTTACAAGCCAGGTCATGCCTTAGAGTGGCAACTGACAAAAACCACCTTCTTGAAGCCATGTGGGTGATTCTAGAAGAACCATCCTTGCACTGCCGACATGCTCAAAGTGTTACAAGCCAGGTCATGCCTTAGAGTGGCAACTGACAAAAACCACCTTCTTCATGAAGCCATGTGGGTGATTCTAGAAAAAACATCCTTGCACTGCCGACATGCTCAAAGTGTTACAAGCCAGGTCATGCCTTACAGTGGCAACTGACAAAAACCACCTTCTTCATGAAGCCATGTGGGTGATTCTAGAAGAAACATCCTTGCACTGCCGACATGCTCAAAGTGTTACAAGCCAGGTCATGCCTTAGAGTGGCAACTGACAAAAACCACCTTCTTCATGAAGCCATGTGGGTGATTCTAGAAGAAACATCCTTGCACTGCCGACATGCTCAAAGTGTTACAAGCCAGGTCATGCCTTAAGAGTGGCAACTGACAAAAACCACCTTCTTCATGAAGCCTTAGATGCAGCCAAGGGTCACATGTTGATCAGAGAGAAGTCTCACAGATGGCAAAAGGAAACAATAAGAGATGTGTGTATGCTGGAAAAGACTGGGAGAGGAAAGGAGCGGATCGAAGTGTCAGAGCAAAAAAACAGACTTTTGTACAGTTCTAATCATATTTGGTTGGGAGTGCAGGGATTGGCCAGCAGAAACAGAAATTCAACAACTCATGATAATTCCTGTCCAGATTATGTCATTATATTTACAAATGGCTGTTTGAGAGACAGAAGTTTGGCTATTCTTCGAATAATGGTCCCAAATTATGGAGGCTGAAAATATACCCTAACAGGGCCTCAGTCACATGTAAATTGCATACCTCTTCTGGCGACTACACAGCATATCGCCGAGAGTATCTCCCGTGCTGCTATGCGGGGGGCTAAACAAGATGGCTGGGATTCACGAGCAAATACAATGGAGGAAGCTGCATGAGATGCAGTAGCTGCTGCTCGTGAGTCCCAGCCATCTAGTTTAGCCCCGCTAGAGATACTCTAGGCAGTGACTTTAACTCGCCGGAAGCTTTTTAGCAGACCTTTTAGCGTTTATTTTCACCCTCCATAATTTGGGACCGTTATTCGGAGGATAGCCGAAGTTTTGTAGGTGTTCACCGTGAAAGCGAATGGACAATGCTTAGTGCAATAAAGTGAAGAATATGATCCAGTGTGAGAATGGAAGCACAGGGAGTCACAGCTGCTTTGAGAATCAGAGTACACACATGTCATGGTAGTAACCGACTCACGAGACATAAGACAGGCAGAGACTGGCATGCTCCATGCAGATTCACAAGCATTGTCTCAGACGTTTGGGGTAGTTTTAAGTTAGCGTTCTTTGGATATTTTCTCCCGGCAAGCAGGGGTGTTGGGGTAGTTTACTTTGAGTTAGCGTTTTTTAGATATTTTCTCCGGACAAGCAGGGGTGTTGGGTAGTTTACTTTAAGTTAGCGTTTTTTAGATATTTTCTCCCAGCAAGCAGGGGTGTTGGGGTAGTTTACTTTAAGTTGGCGTTTTTTGGATATTTTCTCCGGGCAAGCAGGGGTGTTGGGGTAGTTTACTTTAAGTTAGCGTTTTTTAGATATTTTCTCCGGGCAAGCAGGGGTGTTATAGTGAACAGACTGGCTGGTTCTGCACCAACCGATTTTTATGCATGACAAGCTAGATGTCTTCTTCTTCTTTCTTCTTTCGTTCGCCCGAAATAAGTCGTCTAAATCAGCAATTTTGTCTCTTGTATAAATTTCACTGTCGTTGTTAGTTCATTCTGTGGCCCATAGAGTTTATGTTCCACTGTTAATCTTTCTGGCCAAAAGGTTTTCCCTAATGTGTCAAATTCGGTGCAGTCCTGGAGTGCATGCTCTGCTGTCTGGGGCACCTTTCCACAGGTGCACAAGGCTGATACGCCTATCTTGAATTTTGTGTACATGTGGTAACGTAATCGGTTGTGCCCTGTTCTGAGGCCAAGGATAATGACTTGTTCTGATCTGTCCATAATAAAATAGTCGTCTTGTGCAGGGGCTGCTGGTTTCCTGATCGATTTAATGATTCTTTTCTTTTTGCACTTTTGTCGCACCTTTCCCTGCCTGTTGATCAGCTTTCTAATTTCCAGGCACTCCACAATGAGACGGTATCCACTGCATTACGACTCTTTGATGAATGCTGAGTTGTGTCAGCAGTGTTTGCAATTATGGTAGTTTCCTAGACTGGAGTGCTTAAAGTACGGATTTAGCATCTGTCAGCATTACCACATAGTGTGTGAGCCAAGATTGGTATTTAGCAGTTTCTCTGTTGCTATCTTGATAGCCTGAGTTTCTGCATCATAGTTATGGCAGTACTTCCTGGTTGGTACGCTGGACTTATCCCTAGTACCATCTGGTAATTCTATGTATACTCCAGCGCCACCAATTCTAAATGCACTTCGTGCGGACCCATCTGTATAGACTCTGACCCATTGTTCTTGTGGGTATTCTTCATCGATATAACTGAGGGTAGCCATTCTGCGTTGTACACTATCTTGCTCTTTTTTGTCAAATATCCCTTTCACATTTGTCTGGATTTGTACTGTTAGTTTGCATTTTTCTCTCCCATGGGGTTTGTTCTGGAATACTTTTAAGTGGACAACCAATTTCTGGAAGGTCAGTAGTTTGTCTACATATTTTTGCTAGGTGTATAAAGCTGCTTCTTTTTAACCGTTCTAAGGCTAGGTTCTGAAATCTATTTTTCATCGGGTGATCTGGCATACTGAGGAACTTTTCAGCTTGTATTTGCAACTTTGTGTTTTCCAAGCTTTCTCCATTTCTAATATGGGGTTTGCTTCTTTTTAACAGTTCTAAGGCTAGGTTCTAAAATCTATTTTTCATCGGGTGATCTGGCATACTGAGGAATTTTTCAGCTTGAATTTGCTACTTTGTGTTTTCCAAGCTTTCTCCATTTCTAATATGGGGGTTGATTTCATCCCTCCTGTGATGACCCTGAGTGCTTGATTTTGCACTGCGTCCAACTCCTTTAATGTGTACTAGATGCTGAACGCCATGCAGTTGACCCATATTCCAAGTGTGGTTGTATGTTCTGCTTGTATATTTTATTGAGTATTTTCCCATCGGCTCCCCATGTGGTTCCACTTAGTTTTCTTAGTATTGCTGTCTTCCTCCTGGCTTTGGTTGCTGCCTTGTTGATGTTTTCTTCATGTCAACCTGTCATCAAATGTGACTCCGAGATACATAGGCTCTTTATCATCTCTTAGGGGTATTCCGTTTATTTTTATGATGCCGGTTTTTTGCTTTGGGGAAGAGAGTGAAGAGTGTCGTGCTACATTTTTCTGTGTTGATGCTGACACACCATCTATTCGCCCATGCCTCAAGTGCATATGTAGCCCGCTGTAGTGTTCTTGTGGCTATTGTTGCATGTTCATTGGTGCACCACAGTACCAGGTCATTAGCATACATTGCCATTTTGATCCTATTTGGTATTAGCAACCAGATTGTTGATGAATAAGAGGAAAAGTGTGGGTGACAGGACACCACCTTGAGGGAAGCCTTGTCGCACAAGCTAGATGTTATCAGGACTCTTTGGGCTTTGGAAGCAAGTCTGACCAGGGGATTTGATCGACACACTACACTCCGTAGACAAGCCAGATGATGCACATCAAACTTCTAGTGGCATAATCGAAATTTAAACTCTTCTAATTCAATTCTATGGCTGCTGAAGATGAGGACACAGTTACACAGCGTTCCTGACTATGATATGATGGGAACATCCCGAGTGTTGTGCTATGTCAGTTCTTAGCTCAACACTCGACCTAAAAAAATCTATAATAATAAACTCAAACTAAGCTTTTATTTAATAAATTTAATTTATTATTAAAACTTAACCTTATAGTTAATTATTATCTAGCTCATTTGTTTAACAGCCCTACAGTACTAAGTAGTAGTAGTAGTAGTAGCAGTAGTAGTAGGCTACTTACCGGCACCAATTGGTCTCTTCGTTAGATAATTGTGCAGAAGTGAGGCACCCAAGAAGATACCAACCCCGAAATAATTTTCCACGGAAAACCGCAACCCTTCATAATAAGGTAAACGTCGCGTTATTTCTGGTCCAACCATCGTGAATCAAAAGAATTCTGAACTAGAAGTTCCCTGCTCGTCTCCTTCTTTCGTCTCCTCTCTTCCACAACTTGTAAAGGTCACCAGTAGATCAGTTTCTCTTTCAGTTACTACAAATCAAAATATATCTTAGACAATAAAAATTATAAATGTATACAATTTTAATATTAAGTGAAATACGTTTAAATAGTTTATCAATTTTTGATATTTTTTAAATTAGTAGTACAATATAAAAAAGTTAATTTTAATGTGTTTGAAAGTATTGTTTTATAAACTGGCCTTATTAAGTTTTACTAGTTTTAGAAACAAGGGACAGAAGGCTAGTTTACTTCTGTGTGTTTACTTCCGGCAGGGAGCAGAATTTGCCTTTTTTTGTCTGCTGTGATTTTGGTTCTGCGCTCAAAGATATGGCTTCTGATGATCTTCCGAAAGAGTTTGATATTATCGTCGTAGGAACAGGTATACAGCTTCAGATCCATTAGGCATACATTTCTAAAATGTTGAATTAAATTGTACGATAATGATGTATCCGAATCGAACGGATTGTGGCAGACTACGAAATCTACTTCATGGACGTTAGTTAGTCACTCATGTTACTGTTAATAATATTATTATTAATATATTCATACTCTCGCTGAAACTCAGCGCTTCTTCACCCCACCCCTTTTTTTTAAAGCTCTAACAAAGTTTTCTTTGCATCAGAGAACCTTCGCTCATTAGTTTGGTTCAAACTGTTATTGCCCCACACAGGACTTTAGGTTACAGCAGGCCAGATTGCTGCGGCAATTTTGCTAGCTAATTAAAAAATTTCCAGACATCTAGTTTAGCCCCAGTCTCACGTAGCATGGGGGATACCATCTGCGGTGGCGAAAGTTGCCGGAAGTGCGCAATTTAAGTCGTCGGAAGTGCAAAATTGACACGTGGCTGAGGCCCTGTTAGGGTATATTTTCTGCCTCAATAATTTGGGACCGTTATTCTTAAGATAGCGGGTATTTGTTTGGCCGCCATAATATGCATTCAGCATTTTTGCGCACGTAAAAAATCCTCTGGCAGTTGGAAATTGAAATGTGCCTAATGGTACTGCCCTGGGCAAAATTTGGAGTTAAAAATATACCCAAAGTATTTCAGGATCCTTGCCAGTTCTACAGAGCCTGTGCACTGTGCTGAGCTTACTCAGACTTGAGTTAGCAGAAGAACGGAGCACTTATGGGTTACTACCTGTGTGCCATGATGTTGATACATTGTTCAAACTTCAAACTAAGAGGGGGCATCATTCAGAGTTGGAGTATGCCTGAGAGGCAAGGAACCAAAAGTCTGCATTTAAATATGCCAGATCTATGAAATGCATGCAACACTTAGGATCTGGAACAAGACTGATGACTGGAGGTGGATAAACACACAGAACTTTCTGCTGGAGATAACTGCTGGAGAGCATGAAGGAGAATAAGATACAGTGGAGCAAAATGCACCTGTATTGCATACAGTTGGGAGTAATAATACACGTGTGGTGCAGCGGATCAGTCAGCCAGCCAACTAACTGACCAGTTAACTAAAGGTTTACCAAGGGATTTTTGTGTGTGTGAATTAATTGTGTAAAGAATGGCCTTGACTTCCAGGTCGACCCAGCCATGAGTGGGTACTGGGTGCAGCCCTGGAAAGTAAAGGCGGCTGGCGTGATGCTGACCTCATCACTCACCTTGTGCCGATAGCTCTATAAAAATATAGGTCTTGCCCTATATGCCCTATAGGCCTAAAGGCGTGGAAAAGGGACCTTTACTGTCTTTTATTTTAACAAGATAAACTGTTTATTTTTTTTTGTAGGTTTGACAGAGGCAATAGTGGCTGCAGCTTTCTCTCGAATAGGATTAAAAGTCTTGCATCTTGACAGGTGAGACATTACTGAAATATTAACTGGATGCGGTCTTCATTTATCTGATTAAAACTTAGCTCAGATTAGCTGTTGTGTTCTCTTAGCTGAGATGAGTGATATGTTTTATATTGCAAGCTCTTGTTGGACTCTTAAAGGACTAGATATCTTGAACTAGTAGAATGACTGCTGTGCCCTCTTGTTTACTCACAGATAAACTATTATAATAACTGTCATGTTTCCTTGTATTTTCTACCCAATGTTGAACCTTCTTCTTCTTCTTTGTGTTCACCGGCTGTAAACTCTAATGGAAAGTTCTGGTTGTTCATCCACTTCTGAACTGCAGTCCTGTTTCAAAACCTGAGTGTTGCGTGTGCATCCGTTTGACAGATCTGACTCATTTGTGTGCACACTGTTGTTTCCTTGCCTCTCGGGCAGATGCACTCTGACTTTGAAGTAAGCTCCCAATTAGTCGACTCTTACGACATGCTTTTGGGTTGGCAGTGGGTCTATTCTTGTTTTCCCTGCAATATTAGGGCTCCAAAACCTACATAGGGAAATGTTGAACTATTATGGGGAACTGATGCATGACAAATTAGCTGTAGTAAAGATCCTTTGGGAGCAAGTAAACACTCATCCTTCTACACTTGGTGTTGTGCAGGGTCAGTTTCTAAGGTTCCATTCTCAATAGATGACTAAACCACCTTATTTTTTTTTGACTGCGTGAGTTCATGAGTTATTGCTTTCAGTTCCAAACAAGGCATGCTTTTACTGACAATTCCTCTCTTGTCTCAAACATCTCATGATGTGTCTTCTTATATATATGTTTTGGTCAGTGTATTTTAAATAAATCTGGCAACCACAGAGGTATCTTTCATTCCTTTTTAATTCTTACAACACAGCGTGTGGCTAGAGTTTTCATGGCAACATGTAATGAAATAATTATTGTACAAAACATTAGGGTCCCAAAAAAAGTTCATCGACATCATAGTTCTCAGGACATTCCCATAAGTGCTGGATCCCCATTTTAAGCAGCATTTGCAGAGTTTCAGTTCCGATCATACCCCTCCCCTCAGTGTTAAGCGTCAGTCTGATTTCTTGGTTACTCTTCGCTGCACCATTCTTTTCAGACCGTGATAATCTGTTTGTGTCTCCACACTGTTTGTTTACTCACTGCTAAAGGGTCTGTACAACATCTAGCTGGTCATGCATTAGTTCACCACGTGATAATCTGTTTGTATCTCCACACTGTTTACTCACTGCTAAAGGGTCTGTACAACATCTAGCTGGTCATGCATTAGTTCACCACGTGATAATCTGTTTGTGTCTCCACACCGTTTACTCACTGCTAAAGGGTCTGTACAACATCTAGCTGGTCATGCATTAGTTAACCACGTGATAATCTGTTTGTGTCTCCACACTGTTTACTCACTGCTAAAGGGTCTGTACAACATCTAGCTGGTCATGCATTAGTTCACCACGTGATAATCTGTTTGTGTCTCCACACTGTTTACTCACTCTTAAAGGGTCTGTACAACATCTAGCTGGTCATGCATTAGTTCACCACGTGATAATCTGTTTGTGTCTCCACACTGTTTACTCACTCTTAAAGGGTCTGTACAACATCTAGCTGGTCATGCATTAGTTCACCACGTGATAATCTGTTTGTGTCTCCACACTGTTTACTCACTCTTAAAGGGTCTGTACAACATCTAGCTGGTCATGCATCAATTTACCACTATGTGGTGCAGAACCAGCCAGTCTGTCTGCCTGTTCTTATGCTAATACACTGGCATACCCTAGAGAAATTACCATAAGGACGCTAATATCAGTGTCTCTATGTGTTTGAGTATATATATATATGCATCTTTCATCCATTCTTTCATATTTTTACTCCAACACTTATGCCAGGTATGATTTGGAAGATGTGGCTTATGTGATTGCACCTTTAATGAACTGAACAAGATGACATACTTGTCAGACATGATTATGTTTGATTAATAAATATGACCATATTCATTTCAGAAATGACTATTATGGTGGAGCCTATGCAAATTTTAACTTGGAGGCCATTGAGACCTGGAAGCAAAAAAACAATGTAATTTCTTTTGAATTGTATGTGCATTGTGAAGTTGTGTCTGCCTGTTCATTTCCCTACACATAGGCATACCCTGGCGAAAATATCAAAAGGATGCTAATATGAGAGTCTGTATATGTAAAAGTGTATGTATATATGTGTGTGTGTGTATTTGTATATGCATCTGTCATCCTTGCTAGCTCTGTTTTTCTGCTTCAACCAGTCCCATACTGATTGTATGTCTCTCCCATCCGCTAGTCCCACACACTAGTTCTGTTTCTCTTGTCTGCAATTCCCACACTAGCTATATGTTTCTTCCATATGCCAGTCTCACATATCCTCAGAAAAGAACCAAGTCTCATCAGAACTGTGTTGCATGGACTTCAGTTGGAATTTACAACAGATAACACAGGCAGACATCTTGGTGCAGAACAGCAGTGACTGAGAACCGAGATTAGAGAGTTAATCTAGAAATAAAGGGGCTTTAAATGAAAATCTTAAAATCTGATAGAAATTGCAATATTTGTGCCATTGACTTGTAACCTGTCAGTATTCTTCTATCACACTTTGAATGTTTCAAGCCTCCTTATATAAATACACAGAAGCAGTTATCCATGTATAGAAGGAGCAGGTTGAACTAGATCTATATTTTTTTTCTTCTGAAATGAATCGATGAACAAATTCATGTATTTGTACATGACTTTCATGTCTATTTTCTCAGAGTCTCACAGAAAATACGGGGCCAGTGTCTGAGTCGGCAGTTGACTCTGGCATTAAGGAGTTGCTGAATGATGGTGAAGTCACTGTTGCTTTGCCTCCAGAATCTGCTCAAGCATTCAACGTCAAAAGTTATTTTCACATCAGGTAAGAATTTCATTGTTTAATCATCTTCTCTTCTTCTTTTTCTTTGCATTCACTGGTTGTAAATTGCAGCAGAAAGGTCTGGTTGCTCATCCATTTCTGCACTTTGGTCTTGTTTCAGAACTTGAGTTTTGCATGCATATCCTTTTTACAGATCTGACTTTTTAAGCAGACTGTTGATTTCCCACCTCTGAGGCAGATGCACTTCAACTTTAAAAGAAACACCCGTAATTAGTCATCTTTTATGACATGCCCTCCAGAATAGGGCACCGAAACCCACACAAGAAGTTAAGTCAAGTCATCAAATAGAAAAACACAAGTCAAGTTCAGTGATTATGAATTATATTCTTGTATGGCATCTGACTGGAATTTTATATATAAAGATCATTCTAAAGTAAATGTTTGAAGTCATCATCATCATCATAAACCACTTCTGCCGTTAAGTGTCGTGGGTAAGGAATAATTTGCAACCCAGTGCACGCTGGCTGCCACTGGCTATTGTCATTCCGTGAAGGCGTAGAGTGTCTTTAATGTTGTCGATCCATGTTTTACGCGGCCGTCCTCTTGCTCTTGTAGCCGATCTTCTGAGATTTAGTGCTTGTGATGGTATTTGATCTTGCGGCATTCTAACAAAATGGCCAAACCAATTAATCTGCTGTTTCTCTATGAATCTAGTACAAGGTGTCGTTCCCACAATTTATTATTCACTCGATCTCGGATGGTTAGGTTAGCTGCTTTTGCTTTTCTCAGGCACCTCATCTTGCAGGTGGTGATTTTGCGTATATGGGCTTTAGATAGTGTCCATGTTTGGCACTGGTAGCTTAATGTTGAAATGAATATGCTATTAATAATCTGTCTCTTTGCACTCATAGTTATGCTTGGATGTCTTAATAATGGTGACAGTTGGTGTATAAGTGCACTAATGTTTGAAGTGGTGATCAAAAGTCAAGTCTCGGTGAAGAGAAAGACAGAATACAGTCTGTCAGAGTGATAGACAGAAGAAGTCTGTCAGAGTGATAGATAGAGATAACAGTCTGTCAGAGAAGACAGAAAATACAGTCTGTCAGAGTGATAGACAGTAGAGATAGACAGAATACAGTCTGTCAGAGTGATAGACAGTAAGAGATAGACAGAATACAGTCTGTCAGAGTGATAGACAGTAAGAGATAGACAGAAGACAGTCTGTCAGAGCGATAGACAGTTTTGTACATTCAATGCAGCCTGCAAAGTATTTAAAAAAAAGTAAAGGTCCCTTTTTCATGCCTTTAGGTGTTTAGGGTATATAGGGCTAGACCTATATTTTTATAGACTGATGGACAAGATGGGTGATGTGGTCAGCATCACGCCAGCCGCCTCTACTTCTCGGGACTGCACCCGGTACCCACTCAAGGTTGGGTGGACCTGGGAGTCAAGGTCATTTTTTTAAAAACTCCGTCTTCGCCAGGGAGCAAACCAAAGACCTTCTGAACCGCACGCGAGCATCTAGCCACTACGCCATGGGAAGTCCCCCTGCTAAATATAGTAATCATCATCATCGACATGATGTTCCTTGCCAACATGTCTTGAATTTTTAATGTTGATTTAAGAATTGACATCACAGCACTCGGGACACTTCCATAAGTGCTTCATTCCCATCTTCAGCAGCAAGCAAAGAGTTTCAGTCCCATAGCACCAGTAACTGTCTGCAAAAGACACTGCGCCAGGGCTACATGGAGTATTGTGTGGCCACATGAAGAGCATGAGTGATGAAGTCATGAGGGAGATGGCTTTTCATGTCAACCAGAGCAACAGAAAGGCTTCAATTCCCCCTAGGATTGGGTACACAGCTGCCTAATTCCATTTCCAAAACAGGCAAAGACAACTCCAGACTCAGTGGTTTCAGGATTATCACCCCACAAAATACTTTTGGCATGGTGCTAGAGAAGATTATTACTGTTTCCATAAGCTGCAATCTCCAACATGCTATATCAGTTCGTGGGCTGACAACCCTCCATGCCATGGCACAAGACTGTCAAAAATCATCTTGCAGTCTTTCTCTGTCTCCATTTCTCCAGAACCTTTCTAGTGGTCACAGCATGTTCTTGTTTATCTCTTCTTGTCACATGGCTACAAATTAATGACAGACTCCTTCTGGTGTTTGTGATAAGTTGTCTTTGGTCCCTCACCTCATTAAAGTTCACCTTGTTTGAACCTATATGGCTCAGTCTCTCTCCACAGAATGGCTTCCCGGCTGCTGGTAGAGTCACACAAAGCAAGAACTCTGCAGCTTTGTCGACAGTCCCCAAGAATCTCCATAAAAACTGCACTCATGAACAGAACCATGCAGCTGTGAAATGAACCCATGAGGTTCAGTTCAGAGCACAAGGCAAACGGCTTAACCATTTCACCACAGAGACTCTCCTCTCTCCACAACTCTTTCAAAAGAAGTCATGCTTGATTGATCAGTTAATTGATTGATTGATTATATGATACGAAGGTTGTTACTTTTATGTTTGATTTCCTTTGCTTCATCTTTTGTTACCAGAAGCCATTCTTTAAATTACTTTGTAAGGAAAATAGATTTGTCCACCTCCTAAAATTGATAACTGCTATGTTTTATACTTCTAGGGAAAGAACTTCAGAGGAAGAGGCAGCTGCAGAAGCCAAGAAATCAAAGTCGAGATTTTTCTGGTCACCAGTTAATGTTGCCAAAGAACAAGATTTGGATCCAGAAGAAAATAAACCTGACTCAAGAGAGGAGAGTGAGAACATTGAAACGATAACTTCAGAAAATACAGTCAAACAAAATAATGTTGACAAGGCTCCTGAGAAATTGTCAGGTGACGCTGGACTAGAAGAAATTTCTAGAAATGAAAAAGGATTGGGCGATTCAGGTGCTGTGGGTGACATAGGGGAAGTTGATGGTTTGTCAGGACTAACGCTTTCTGAATCTAGGACAGATGATACTGATGGGAGGCAAGTGGTCCCCGAACAAAATCAATCTGTGTCAGGTGAGAAAGAAGTGGGTCCTTCTGCTGGTGGAGATCAAGACTTAGCTTCAGTTCAAACCTCGGAGACAAAGACTGAAGGAGCAGGTGACTCGGAAGATAAGGAACCCAAAGAATGGACAGTAGGTGACCTCAAGGATGAGTGGCGAAGATTCTGTTTTGATATTTCACCCAAGGTAAGTAGTGCCTTTAACTAACAATATATTTATTTATCCTGCCTGTTTAACATGATATAAAAATGTATGCGAGGGGGACATGAATGATACAGGTATTAAAGTAGATTCGTGGGAACACAGTGGCAAGGATCGTGTTGCACAGAGGGGCAAAATTGGAAAGGGAATGGGAATAACAGAAAAAAATGATTGTGGCTAGATTGAGAACTGAGCATCTGGGAAAAAGTACGCTAAATACATCTCACGGCAACAACTGTCTTGAAATCCTTTGCTCTAGTTGTGACAGATTTTTCTTTACATGGGTCTGTATTGCTAGTCACACTCACCAACGCTATGGGCTGTGATAGCACATTATAACACTATACTGGTGTTGACTTGAGTAGAGAATCCTCATCTCAGCACTCAGGTTCCCATAAGTGCGGCATCCCTATCATCAGCAGCCAGCATATAGGTGTGGAAGGCTGTTGTGGGGAATATATACTGGTATAGAAAGAGTGTGGTGTAAAGTTATCAGAAACACGAAACATTTGTTGTCTATGTGTATCTTCTTATCTAGGTCCTGTACTGTTGTGGAGAAATCATTGACCTGTTAATTCAGTCAGATGTTGCCCGCTACTGTGAGTTTCGGACAGTGAGTCGTGTACTCACACTTCTCAATGGCAGTTTACAGCAGGTCAGTTTGTATGTGTGCATGAATGTATATGTGCATGCATGTATGTGTGCATGTATGTATGTGTGGTAGAAACTATGTAAGTACATAACGGTCACTTCACACACCAGTGGATTATCTGGCATATGAGGCAAGAGTATAATATTTTTAAAGACCAGTAGGCCATCGGTGGCTGATGCAGTCAACATCATTTTGCCCGCCTTTACTTCCCAAGACTTTACCTGTTACTCATTTAAGGCTGGGTTGACCTACAAGCCAAGAGTTTTTTTTTTTAAAGATAAAATCCAGCTCCATCTAGTTTTGAACCCATGACCTGTGGATTCGCAGGCGAGAATCTAATCGCTTAATCACATTTATAAATATAAACCTTAGTATAAATGTTTCGGCAGCAATAAAAGTGAGCCTTTTCTAAACCAACAAACAGTATCTTGTGTTTCCCGCCTACTAATAACCTTTGCTTCAAGTGCCACCTTAAAGCTTCTTCTCAGAGGTTTTATATATATATTATCATCATCATGTGCCCTGGTGTAGGCCCTCATATTGTTTCCACAAATCACGATCCTTGGTTGTCTGTAACAGCTCTCTTGATGCCATCATTTCAGCCCATCCAGCATCAAATCTCTTGGTCTACATATACCCATTTTCCACTGATTTTTCCAGTTGTAACGATGTTCTGCAATGTCTGTCTTCTCATTTTGTGGCCAAAGAACAGTGTTTGTCTTTTTCTTAATGTTGTATATAGAGATATACTTTCATTAGCTTCTTTCAAGCAATTGTTGTTTGTTAATCTGGTCGTCCAAGGTATTCGTAACATTCCTCTCAGAAACCACATCTCTTTTGCTTCCAAATTCTTCCTAATTTGTTCATTGACATTCCAAGATTCGCTGCCATACAGCAGAACAGGTTCTATGTAACATTTTAGCACCCTCTTTATATATATATATATATATATATATATATATATATATATATTATATATATATATATATATATATATATATGACAGTTTTCAATTATAATTTCTATTTTAATTTTTTTCATGCATTAATGTCAGTAATTTCATTTATTTCTGTTTTTTTTTTCCTTTAATACATTCATTACCTTATGTCATTTGTTTCAATGGATGAATGAAATTTGTCCTGCCAGGCTAATCTTTAGAGTAGGGCTTATTTTATGAGCTTCATAAAAAAATTATGCTAGGGCTTGTTTTCATGTTCAGTCTTATTTTTTGGGACATCTGGTTACTAAATTTTCTAGGCAGTTTACTATGCTGTTTTATATTTCATGGTATCTCACTCTACCACTTCTTGTATCAACTCTTTTCATGCGCTGTTGTTTGGCTCTTGATTGTTGCTGTTAAGGGGGTCTCTGGTAATGTGGTCAAGCTATTTACTTCGCATTCTGAAGGTTGTGGGTTCATTTCACAGCAACCCGGTTTCTGTGCTTTCTTAATATCCTACCCTAAATGCGGGAAATTTACAGGTCACGCAACAGTCTAATATTTCAGGGCGTGGTAGATAGGCTGCATGCATCGTAGGACCTAGGCCACACTCTCTCTCTGGTTAGGGCCAGTTCTAGATGTTTTGGGGTCGTTAAAAGCATCAGAAAGCCTGGAAACCCAGTCTTACCACCCTCTAAAATGTTGGACTGTCCCGTGACGTCATCTGGGGTAGGATATTAGGAAAGAACCCCGGTTTCTGTTCAAGGGTGAAGTTTTTAATAAATCCCTGCGGATACGTGCCTGAGCTATGGAGCTTATGCTTTGTGTGACGCTGTCGGCTGGAGGCTAGTCATTTCTACGGAGAGAGACTGAGTGTAATGGGATAAAACATAGTGCAATGAGCTTGATCCTCTCAGCTCTAACCTTTAATCTTTGTTGCTTTTAATTGTTTTTGCCCTCAGGTCCCATGCTCAAGAGCAGACGTCTTCAGCAGCAAGATTGTCAGTCTGGTTGAGAAACGGCTGATGATGAAGTTCCTGCAGTTTGCTGCCGATTATGAAACACATCCTGAAGATTATCATGGTCAGTGGCTCATTTATGTAGATTTTTATTCTGCTTCATATTCACTCGCTGTGTACTGTGACAGAAGTTTTGGCGATGAACGCGAATTAGAAGAAGAAGAAACACATCAAACAGTTAAAGAGCTGCAGAAGAAATGGTTTGGACATCTGATCAGAATGCAGTGGTACGAACCGCCACAGATAGTCAGCTGAAGAAATACAGTGATCACAGAACAAGGGGAAAACTATGCAAAACAGCGGCATCAAGAACAGCCTTAGAGAAACAGATAAAGTTATGAAGTGCTTTAAAAGGAGCACATAGAAATACTTGAATCTCCCACAAACACTTTGATGAGGTGACATGTGGAGGAGATAAAGAAGAAATGATGCAGTATCACCAGTGTTATTAAATGTCTTGGATACGAGATGCTGTGTCTGTAATGACCTTGTCTAACTTAGATAACAGATGGACTTTAAATGACCTTTTATGGAGTTAAGAACCAACATCTTAACACACAGGGCATTCCAATCAGCTTTCTGTCCCCAGCTTTAGCATGAAGCACAGAATTCCATTTCTGATGGTAACTTTTTAGACAGAACATGGACTGTCATCTTAATGACCCTGTAGTATATAGAAAATATAAATATAAATTTCGGTGTTCTATAAAGTTAAGTATTGCATGTTGTTATTTACAGAATACAAAGGCAAGCCTTTTGTGGACTTCCTCAAGTCTAAGAGACTGACTCCCAACATTCAGCATTTTGTGCAACATGCTATTGCTATGGTCACAGACAGTGCTACAACTGAGGAGGTAGGAGCACTGTGATAATTTAAACTTGTTTCTCGCAGGGTAAACTCCTCCTGCTCTTCATATTTTTGCTGGTTTATACTCTCCCTTTTTCTTAAAACTTTAGCATGTTTATACCGTCTCCTCTCTCCTGGCCAAATGGTTGAGAATGCTGGGCTGGCTGTTTTGCAGGAGACCCAGCGTTAGATTCTTTCGTAAGTGGATGTACATTTTTCTGTCAGGAGCAAAGATAAAATTCTAACCTACACAGTCTGTGATGACCATGTGGAACTATCCTTCATCACCAGGCTTAAAGACGACCCCCCCCCCCCCCCCCCAACCTTTTACACCACAGAAAGTGATAATACATGCAGTAATGCCACCCAGCATGCACTGATTCACAAATGATTCCTTTCCACAATGCTGAACAGCATAACTGGTTAATGATGATGATGAATGGCAGTTTTTAAAAATGTACTTTGCCCTGATTTTAACATTTTAGATAAATTGTACTCTGCCCTGATTTAAACATTTTAGATAAATTGTACTCTGCCCTGATTTAAACATTTTAGATAAATTGTACTCTGCCCTGATTTTAACATTTTACATAAATTGTACTCTGCCCTGATTTTAACATTTTTCATAAATTGTACTCTGCCCTGATCTGTCCTACTTCAGCTTCCACTGTTCCCTAAAACTTGAGAACAATATAACTAGAATGTCTTTGCTCTAGAACCCACAGGGGCATAGAAATAAAGGAAGACCAAAAAACACTTGGAGAAGGGAGTTAGAGAGTGAAGTTAAGAAGATGGGGAGAACATGGGGAAAGCTGCATGTGATAGTATAGGATAGAACGACTTGGCATGTGTTGGTTGAGGGCCTATGCTCCATTGGGAGTTAGAAAGGCAGAAGAAGAAGAAGACTAATCCCTAGTGGGTGACATAGAATCTATAGATAAGCCCCATAGGCTACGATGTTGATTCTCAGATCAGTAATCAGTACTTTCCTCTCATCTCAGAGTTTTAGTCACATCCATCTTGGTTTAGATTTGTGATTGTTTGATGCTTGATGATGCACCGCACACTTGCCGAGTATCTAGGGGGTACTCAGTAATGTCAGCCTTGCAGGTCACAAATCCTGCTCAACAGTTACAGAGGACTCCGGACGCAGGTTTAGGATTAGAGTTTAAACAAAGTATTCAGACATCATGAAACGCAATGCATCACGAGATACAATTATCACACGGCTACAGTCATTCTGCTACATGCAGCTACAAGACGTTTTGGAAGACCTCTCCTGTCACCCTGTGTTCCCTGGTTTCTGTGGGCAGTCAGTATCCGATCGCCCAAATCCATATGTTCATGATTTCATGATTGATGTGACTTTCTCTCTGGCCATAGAAAACCCCAGGCCGATGCACAATAACTTGTGAGAACCCTTCCAGACCTCCCGTCTGCGGCCTGTCACGTTACCTTGAGATATCCTGAATCTCACCTCACGAACATATCATGCTGGACCCTTGCCACTGCTCAACTCCTACAGACAACATGGACACTAGATGCCACTACCCAGCGTGAAGTATAGGCAGACTCATCTAGTCTGGCAACACCCAGACTAGAACATACCATCACACCCGAGTCCTTGATCCCACCCTACAGCTGCGCACGTAATAATAACATCAGTTCTCAGGAGCTCTGCCGGTGCGTTCTTCTTCTCCAATGTCGTAGAGTCAACTCCTTCTCTTCGTGAACTTCTTGGAGTCAACTGCCACTGAAAACACACAGCTCACAATCCTCCTTTGAGTCCTTCTCACCACACTGCACCATGGTTCATGTTCGTTAATGAACTTTCTTAATGTTTTCCTCCAGTGGCACGGCTATACAAGTCCTTGACCCTGTGAACCTGGCAAATGGGTTTGCAGTTGAATTGACATATTAACATCTCAAGCAAGGGAGATCAATACATGGACTTTACTTCTAAGGGCCATAACCCTCCATATATCTATATATTGCACACAACAGTTTGCTCATATGATCAACTAAGCCATTCAGGCTGGCATGGAAGCCACTGCAACATTCGTGCACATCCCCACACACCTGCATTGCGCCCACTCACAGCTGCTTGTGTTTCTGTTGCTTGTGGTTCACACTTTTTATGAGTCTCTATGAATATTTCAGGGGCTGAAAGCAACTCAGATATTTCTGCGCTCCCTTGGTCGTTATGGCAACACAGCTTTCCTTTACCCACTGTATGGCACAGGAGAGTTACCACAAGCGTTTGCCAGGTAGGTGTTTCAGGAGTATTTTTTCCCCCAAATTATTGACATTTGCTAAAAGACTACATAGGTTTGGGTGTTTAGAGAGAATAGCAGATGGTAGAGAGGCAAAAACTGCACATAAAAGAGATGAAATGGCATAGACCATGAGGCAGACCAAGAAGACAGCGAAGAGATAAATTATGGACAGACCTACAAACATTTGGAGTCACCAGCTGGAAAAAGAAGGCCAATCAGAGAGATAAATGGAGATGGCTGATCTGCAGCAGTGAATGTCAAGGGCTGGGAATGCTAAAGAAGAAGATCAACATTTGCCAGTTTGGACACTACAACCATGTTTCACTTCAGCTGTTTTCTGTATTTTTTTTTTTTTTAAAGTTCAACCACTTGTGGTCTTTTATGCCTTCAACTCTTCTGACATTGTCTATTTTTAATGATTTCAATCTGTTGACATGCTTCAGATTCTTACACAAACAGGACTGCAGGTTACACTGAGACAGTCTTCTTCTTCTTCTTTGCATTCACTGGCTGAAACCTCTGCGGGAAATTTCTAGTTGTTCGTCCACTTGTTCAAGAACCTGAGTATTGTGTGCACATCCATTTTACTGATGTGGTTTCTTTGTAAACAGACTGTTGGTTCCTAACCTCTCAGGTAGACACACTCCAGCTTCCAAAGAAACATACCTAATTAGTCAGCTTGTGTGTCATGCTTTTTAGGGATGCAGTGAGTTTATTCTCCCCCTCCCTCTAAATGTGGCCCAGGAACCCACATGTAGATAAATTGGCACAGAACTTGGTGTGGCTGTTTAAGATGTGCTAATTTAAACTTTTTGGGAGGTTGAACATGGTATCTTGGATTTCCTGTTGTGAACTGCTAATGCCTTGTGGGAGAGCGTGTACAGTTCGGAGGAGCAGATGAATCACCACAGTCTGGTGAGACTGATGCAGCGGGGAGTGACGAGAGGTTCTGGCAGATGTTCGAGGCTCAGAGGAAAGGCAAGACGGACGTTTAATCAGAATGCTACTGGTACCATTAGTATCGGAACTCTTCGCTGGCTGCTGAAGATGGGGACGGAGCACTTTTGGGAATGCCCCGAGTGCTGTGATGTCAGTTCTTGAATCAAATCAAATCATTTGTGAACTGCCATCCAGGATTTGACTCCTGAAGTTGTAGGATGGACAGACCTTATGTAGTAGAATTGAGAGGACAAACAGACAGACAGACAAATGTCTCTGTATCTCTAAAGACCTGATCCTTCCCAGTTAGCATTGTGTTTTCTAGACAAGTCCAACTGACTTGTATGAATTCGTTAGGGGAAAATCAGATTAGCACACCACTTGGTAAAAGAAGAAAGACCCTAAATTGCGGCATCTAAGTCAACCTGGCATACAAGGCCAGTTAGGCCTGTATCTGCCTTCATTGGCCAAAGAATTTCTTTAAGTTTCACCCCTTCACTGATTTTTAAACAACCACATAACAGAAAGCTGATCCTCTTTGGCGCATGTCAGAGAGGGGCGACAGTCTTTAAACTTTGATTATAACATCATCTGTTCATATGCACCATGCTTAACATTCTTGATATCTTGAACATCACTATTGATGGACTAGAAGACCATGGCATGGTTAGGGTAATTTTTATCACACATCTAAGGTTCTCTTATGAAACCCCAATTGTACATGCTGCATTTTACAGCACCTAACACATGATATCGGGAAAACCCATAGGTAGAAGACCTTCAGTACCGGGGAAGGGAAGGGGGTGGGGAGAAACAGTTGGTAAATGTCATTTTGTAATTTCACAAGTGCCTCCTCACCTCCTTAGTCCCTCCAAATTCAATGAATGCCATGTTTGATGATTCTCTGCTGGTTTCTTCCCAGGATGTGTCCAATATAGCACCACCTTCTTTGTCTTGTAACTGTTGATACTAGTGGTTGCTGAAACATTTATTTCTTCACCTCTTTTGAATTCATCCCATTTTACAAACAAGCTTTTCATGTCTTTAATGATTCTCCAACTTTTACTAGGTCACTTATAAATATATTTTTTTACATAGATATGATTCAAGACACTGGCATTTCTCATGTTGATGGTTGAGAAATATTCTGTGTCTGTCTTACAGATTGTCTGCTGTGTTTGGGGGCGTGTACTGTCTGCAAGTTTCTCCAACACATATTGTTGCTGACAGTGATAACACGTAAGTTATAAGTGTTTCTGTGCTGGGGGGGGGGGGGGGGGGGGGGGGGGGGGGGGGGGGAACAGACATGGATACAGAATTTGGCTGAATGGACTGACCTCAATCATACAAACATCATTTCTTTTGTATCTGACCAGTGGAAGTTGAGGGGACTAACGAGAAAGTGAACAGCAACGGGTGACCCAGTGATGTGGGTTGTCATGAGACTGGGATGGCAGGGATGATCAGTATCACTAGATGAGGGTGTGCTTCTCTGTTTAAAGCAAGCATTGGTGCAGATGTTTATAACTAGGTCATACAGATACCAATGCCATATAAGGGATCATATATTTCAGACACTTTGTTAAGTTTATATTCATGCACTCAGCTTTCAGATCACAATTGTATTTTATCAGTAATACGTGTTATGTTTATATAAAAAATACATAATGAAATAATGCATGCACACATCGTAGATGTACAATCATACACACACAAAATATATATGTACACATAGCACTCTTACATGCTCATACATACACAGGCACATGCACACACACACGCACACATGGACGCGAGCATGCACACACACACACACACACACATACACTCATGCTCATACAGACACACACATGCACCCATATTCATGTGTACACTTACGTAGAATCAAACTATGTATGTGTGTGTGTGTGTGTATATATATATATATATATATATATATATATATATATATATATATATATAGATATATATATATATATATATATATATATATATATATATATATATATATATATATATATATATATATATATATATATATATATATATATATATATATATATATATATATATATATATATTATATATATATATATATATATATATATATATATATATATATATATATATATACATATGTATACATAGTATATAGAGACACACACACACACATATATATATATATGTATATATATATATAGAGAGAGAGAGAGAGACATAGATATACACACATATGTATATGGGTATATACACACATTTATGTATATGGGCATCTACACACATATATGTATATGGGTATATACACACATATACATACACATATATGTGTGTGTATATACACACACATAAATATACATAGATAAAATATATTTATATATATGTACATATATGTATATGTATTTAGAAAAAATATATATACACACATTTATATATGTGTGTGTGTATATATATATATATATATATATATATATATATATATATATATATATACACACACACACACTCATATATATATATATATATATTATATATATATATATATATATATATATATATATATATATATATATATATATATATATATATATATATATATATATATATATATATATATATATATATATATATATATATATATATTTAAAAATACATATGTGTGTGTATTTATACATATATATGTATATTAAAAAATACATATGTGTGTGTATGTATATACATATATATGTATATTTAAAAATACATATGTGTGTGTATGTATATACAAATATATGTATATTTAAAAATACATATGTGTGTGTGTATATGCATATATATGTATATTTAAAAATACATATGCGTGTGTGTGTACATATATATGTATATTTAAAAATACATATGTGTGTGTATGTATATACAAATATATGTATATTTAAAAATACATATGTGTGTGTGTATATGCATATATATGTATATTTAAAAATACATATGCATGTGTGTGTATATATATATGTATATTTAAAAATACATTTGTGTGTGTATGTATATATGTATATTTAAAAATACATTTGTGTGTGTATGTATATATGTATATTTAAAAATACATTTGTGTGTGTATATATATATGTATATTTAAAAATACATTTGTGTGTGTATGTATATATGTATATTTAAAAATACATATGTGTGTGTGTACATATATATGTATATTTTAAAAAACATTTGTGTGTGTGTGTATGTATATACATATATATGTATATTTAAAAAAACATATGTGTGTGTATGTATATACGTATATATGTATATGATAAATGGAAGATAATCAACACTAAAGGGAAAACTTGGCAGGACTTTTATTCAGGTTGGAACTGGTGCTTTTAGCCTGTCAACTCTTCATTGGCTACTGAAGAAGAGACTGAGAACATATAGGAATGTCCCTAGTGCAGTAATATCAATTCTTGATTCATTCATTCATTTATTGCAGTTAGTTGAGGAGAACAGAATTGTAGTAATAAGAAAATGGGGTTGGGGGACGGGGGATACTAGAGTGACCTGGTTAGTTTATTTCAGCTCTGGCCTTCAGACAGAATCAGCTGATGATGGAGATGATAATTTTGAAATTGTTTGTGGTTTTCAAAAGAATGCTTATAGAATTTTACCAGGACAACACAAAGGATATAAAAAAATGCAGTTTAGGTACTTCTTTTTAAAGTCCGTGCCGTGTGGCGTTGGTAGTCATGTCTGTCCACAACCTTCTGTCTGGTGTTCTTTCAGTCAGCTCTGACACAGATGATCCTCTGTGCCATGATGTCAAACTGTCCAGCATCTTTTATCTCAGTCTCCCCCCCCCCCTTTCCCCCACCATTCCTCTTTACACACACCCAAATTGGGCCATTGAACCCACACAGGCAATTCTGATTTTATTGTTTCAATGTCTCTTTTGTAGTTCACTGAAATAATTGCAGTACCCTTGAGAATGCTAATTATGTTTTGTTTGTTTAATCATTGGCTATCCCTAGTTGCTGCGGGATCATTACTTCAAATAACCAACTGATCAGAAGCAAGTAAGTGTCCAGTAATTCTGAGTTCATTGTAGTGTATTCTGTTTCTACATGGAATTTAACAGTAAAGTAAGTAAAAAGTAAAGTAAAGATCCCTTTTCATGCCTTAGGCACATCGGGCATATGGGAAGAGCATCCCCTATTTTTACAGACCAATCGGCACTGGGTAGGTAATGTGGCTAGTATTATGCTGGCCATCTTTACTTCCCCAGGAAAGCCATCCTGGTACCTATTTTAGGCCGGGTCGACCTCTGACGCCCCATACACGAATAAAAATCCACACAGCCAGCAGTGGGTTTCGATCGCGGTATGTTAGGATTATGAGTCGGACTCACAACACCTAAGTCACGGAGGCTGCTAAAATTTAACAGAAAGACTTTTTGCAGATCTGAGAAAATGAATCTGCTCTTTGATCTTTACAGCTTTGGAGGCCCTGCAGATAGTTATGCTGCTGTTGATAGCATTGCTTTCAGGGTAATTGAGAAACACATGTTTCTTCATCATAGCAAGGTAGAGACTCCTTCATAATGTTTAAATCACCATTAATGGTAAATTAAGGGAATTGAGGAAGTGAGGGTGCCTAGAAGAAACTCTAAAGTGGAAGTTTATGAGAGAAGCCAAAGGTGCTGGACTAGAGTCCATCCATAATATTGAATTAAATGCACAGGATAAAATGGACTGTAGAGAGTAGACTGCTAGCCTTCTTTGACTTAAAATGGCACTACAGCAGAAATGATTGGTGATGATGATAATGAATGACTGGCATCATAAGGGCTAATAGATAGCAATGGCTGGGGCATTTAGAGAGAGAATGGCAGATAACAGAGAGACAAAAATTTCATACATAAAAGAGTTAACTGGGAGTAGACCATGAGGCAGATGAAGAAAACGGTGGATGGATAATATAAAGGCAGACCTACAGACACTTTGAGTCACTAGCGGGAAAGAGAAGGGCGGTCACAGAACGAATGAATGAACAAACTTTTTTACACGGTTAAGACCTGGGCCCTGCCCATATGCAAGAACATCATCGGCAAATGTCAATATTCTTCCAACACCTGGTGATTTAAGCTCTGCAGTCTTGTTTCTGTACACTTTGAAGAGCACTGCTGAAATTGCAGAACCCTGGGACAGCTCCAGGGCTATATTACATGGCTCTGAGGTCCATGCACCCAGGCGAAAAATGTGAATAAAAAAACAAAGTTGACTAATTATGGGTGTTTCCTTTAAAGTGTGTATCTGTCTGAGAAGTGAAGAACCAACAGTCTGCTTACAAGTAAGGCAGATGTGCATGCAAATGTCAAGTCCTGAAACAAAATAAAAACTCCATAAGTGGATGATCAACCAGAACTTTCTGCCAAATTTTACAGCTGGTGAACGCGAAGAAGAAGAACATCAAAGAAAATTCACTCATAAACAATTCCCTGTCCCTGAAACTAACCTCACTTTGGCTGCATTCATTACTGCAGTCAGAGTATTACAAGGCAGTCAGAGTATTACAAGGCAGTCAGAGTATTACAAGGCAGTCAGAGTATTACAAGGCAGTCAGAGTATTACAAGGCAGTCAGAGTATTACAAGGCAGTCAGAGTATTACAAGGCATTCAGAGTATTACAAGGCAGTCAGATTATTACAAGGCAGTCAGAGTATTACAAGGCAGTCAGAGTATTACAAGGCAGTCAGAGTATTACAAGGCAGTCAGAGTATTACAAGGCAGTCAGATTATTACAAGGCAGTCAGAGTATTACAAGGCAGTCAGAGTATTACAAGGCAGCCAGAGTATTACAAGGCAGTCAGAGTATTACAAGGCAGTCAGAGTATTACAAGGCAGTCAGAGTATTACAAGGCAGTCAGATTATTACAAGGCAGTCAGAGTATTACAAGGCAGCCAGAGTATTACAAGGCAGTCAGAGTATTACAAGGCAGTCAGAGTATTACAAGGCAGTCAGAGTATTACAAGGCAGTCAGAGTATTACAAGGCAGCCAGAGTATTACAAGGCAGCCAGAGTATTACAAGGCAGTCAGATTATTACAAGGCAGTCAGATTATTACAAGGCAGTCAGAGTATTACAAGGCAGCCAGATTATTACAAGGCAGTCAGATTATTACAAGGCAGCCAGAGTATTACAAGGCAGCCAGAGTATTACAAGGCAGTCAGAGTATTACAAGGCAGTCAGAGTATTACAAGGCAGCCAGAGTATTACAAGGCAGCCAGAGTATTACAAGGCAGCCAGAGTATTACAAGGCAGCCAGAGTATTACAAGGCAGTCAGAGTATTACAAGGCAGCCAGAGTATTACAAGGCAGTCAGAGTATTACAAGGCAGTCAGAGTATTACAAGGCAGCCAGAGTATTACAAGGCAGTCAGAGTATTACAAGGCAGCCAGAGTATTACAAGGCAGCCAGAGTATTACAAGGCAGCCAGAGTATTACAAGGCAGCCAGAGTATTACAAGGCAGCCAGAGTATTACAAGGCAGTCAGAGTATTACAAGGCAGTCAGAGTATTACAAGGCAGTCAGAGTATTACAAGGCAGTCAGAGTATTACAAGGCAGTCAGAGTATTACAAGGCAGTCAGAGTATTACAAGGCAGTCAGATTATTACAAGGCAGTGTTCTTCAAAGAAAAGGCATTGATAAAACAGCACCTGGCATTGATAAAACAGCTCCTGGCATTGATAAAACAGCTCCTTAGTGGGTAGAGGACATTATAAACTTCTTGAAAATGTGTTTGCATATGCGTTTGTATATGTTGTATAATAATGTTATGTGTGTATGTGTATATTACACAGGTACGTGATTGCAGAAGCTTCATACCTTCCGCCATCATATGTGTGGACCTACTGTAGCAGGTAAATGTTTGTAGGTGTCAGTATTTGCATGAACATTCTGTGGCAGGTAAATGTTTGTAGGTGTCAGTATTTGCATGGACATTCTGTGGCAGGTAAATCTTTGTTGTCTCAGTATGTTTATGGACATATTGTCGCAGGTAAATGTTTGTATGGTACTTCTCTAGCATCTAAAAGTTAGTTTGTTAGTTAATCAATCGATTATCCTCACCGGACAAGTTTATAAGTACTCAGATCACATCTTGGGTATATTCTGCAGTGTGTGGTGACTGATGATTTACTATTCTTTTTTGACTACCTGTTAGTGTAAAGTGGAAATGTCTAGCAATACCTCTTTTGACCTGAAGTTCTTGCAGTCTTTTGAGTGTTGCTAGCTCACCATCATCTCCTGAATCTTTTTCTTGTCCCTCCTCCTTGAGAGCATTGAGAACATCATCCAGGTCCATTACTTCTCCTGTAACTACCCTAGCCCTACCAGCAAGCTAATCTGGTCATTCATTCCCTCATACTCCAGAGTGCCCTGGCACAAAACTGAAACTGATTCTTGTTAGATGAGATCTTTCCTCTGAATCTGCAGCCATTATTTCCCAACACATGCATGTTTGTGTGGTCATGCTTTGATAGTTATATGCATGCATACAGCGATAGATTACAATGCCTGTGAAAAATGAAAATAATCACATTTTATTTACTTTAATAGCAACACTGTAATTTATCCTGTAGGATTTGAGGGAGGAATAGAGATTAGTTTTCTTTCCTTTGTTGGTTAAATACTTCTGTTTCTATTGCCTTCACACTCCAAATATTGACTGGCATGCTGTATTGCGGTTTACAGGTAGCCTGTACTACCTGCCCAGGAATCCACATGGGAAAAATTGGTTACCTCATGCAGTAGAAACCTTTAGCCACCAAATCCAGACCATTGAGTTTCCATGGAGAAGTGGCCAAGGTATTTGCTTTGCAGGTTATGTTTCACAGCTACATAGTTTGGTTCACAGTTGCAATTTTTTGCAGAGCTCTCTAGGGATAATTGTCGGAGCTTATGAGTTTGTGCTTTGTGTGACAGTCTCAGCAGGTGGCTAACCATTCTGTGGAGAAAGACTGGGCCATGTAGGCCAAACCTGGTGCAGTAAAGCTGATCATCTCGACTCAAGTTGTTGTATCTAAACTATTACAAACAAGTTTACACAGGCTATATTTTGTTAAAGGTCTGTTTTTTACTGCCCCAAACTTCCATTGCTACCTTTGTTCACCACTTTTGCTGTGTGAGCACGGGGGGGGGGGGGGGGGGGGGTGTGTCTTTGAGCTTCAGGATTTAGGGCCGCATGACTAGTGCTATCGCCCCGGATTATTCAGGTTTGGATTTTTTTTTTTGACAGAAAAAAATCCCCAACCTTACCAAGGATTCAAACCCAGGTCTCCGTCTTGAAAGCCCAGCTTCCTAACCATTTATCCAGCCACTCTTTTCTTTACTGAAAGATGAAATGTGAAAGAAAAAGAAAACTGGAGGTAAACATAAAATGGTTTGCTGTGTGTAGAAATGATTGTTTAAGTACATTGTTGAATTATTTGTGGTTACAGAAAAACTTCAAGAGCAATTTTCATCACAGACAAAACAGTGTTGCCATCAGCAGAACTGGAGGTGAGAGAATGTTGCATTGTTTGAGATCTCTCTGGGCTCTTTCTGTAGTTCTCTGCGCTCTATGGACACAGTTATCTTATGGTAGTGTTGTTAGGAGCAGCTGGCCAGCTGGTTAATAACTGTGTGACCCATGTTCAAATCCTCGGTAAAGTTGTGAATTTTTCCGTCAGGAGCAAAAATAAAATCTTAACCTACAAGTCCATGACGAGAGTACTAGCTTTTGGTCCAAAGCATCTGATTTCAGCTAATTGATAATTAGTCAGCTTTTACGAAAGGGCTGTTCAATTAAGTTTATTAAAGGGCAAACATTTTGAAAACAGGGATCGTCACGGGTCAGTGGCCCAAGCTGCAGCATAGAAAGATAGTGAATACTATACAAATGGCAGTGATTGACAGACAACTTACTCTGCCTTTGCAGGCCACTTGCTACGCCTTTGCGGGCCACATCTGGCCTACGGGCCGTTAGCTGATTAGCCCTGCTTTATGACATGCTTGTTTAGGGGCAGTGGGTCTCTT